GGCACGCCACAGAATATGCAGAGTATCTATCTAAGCAGTTTTCGCCTTTTTTCTATCTTATACAGGGTGCGAGCTGACAGTGCCCTAAAAAGTGAAATTTTTCGTTTTCACCCTGTATTTCAGTGGCAAAACGAGATACCTTAAGGTTGATTCTCACTATACATTCCGTTTCCATTCCCTAACCGTTCCGTAAATTATTGAAATTAAATATTCGCCTTCGCTTAAAGTAGGCTATTGCGTGTGTATGCACATTATCCGTAAGGTATATTGTGTATACAATCAACTTGTACTGAACGTTTACGAAACTGATATGGAATGGAAACGGAATGTATAGTGAGAATTAACCTTTAATTCTGTTTGTAGCATTATTAGTTTAAACAGTTTTCTGCAGCAAGAATTAGTGAGATCCTAGTCAATACTTGCCGTTGCTAGATGGCGCGGTAGAATTTACTGACGGTTCCATACTAAATATGAATTGCAATGATTATTATACATAAGCCTCAAAGGCTGAAAGGCAAAGAAATTTCTAGTAGATGATTGCCTTTGTTGTTTCAGTTTTATTTTGTATTTCTGTGTGTAAGCTTTTATTTAAGGCGACATCTTGTGGTCAATTCTTAAACTATAATTTACTGGGTTATATAGGGACTTTCGCCATTCTTAGTATGGACGTTGGCAAACTGATGTGAATGTCAGTTCAATTTGATTTTGGGTAGTTACAAGAAAAAACAGCTACTGTCACAAAGCGCAATTTTGTAGCATTTATACTGTCGATTGTACCTGTACAACTTCAAATTCTATTATATATATAATATATATTCTAGGGTGAGAAATTTTTTATTTGTAGCTGCGAATATACGTTTTAATTGGACATCTTTAGGCAAAAAATGGAGAAGGCTGAAAATTGGCAAAGCAAATACTGTAGAGTTTGAAACAACGTCCTCAGCGGACTACTATTGGACTGTGCTCGCTTTTGGAGCAGCAGATGTTCGTGGATGTAGCCATTTGCTGCGAAAAGGGTTTACACGTTCATAAAGTGGTTCTGGCTGCCAACAGTCCTTGTTTAAGGTGAGTAGATATTTTCACAAATACACATGATCATGACTGATGTATTTTTATAGGAAGAACTGGAAAAATTCATCTGTCGAGCATGTGGTGATCACAGGATGTGTTATACTGTGGTGAAATCCTTAGTGGAGTTCATGTACTGTGGATCAACTACTATAGCAGATGAACATCTCAAATATTTTGTTGCGGCAGCCAGGACATTACAAATGAAACATTGGAAAATCTGACATTTGACTTCCCCTTACCTGGTAATTTATTTCATTAAGACATTCCAATTTTATTTTGTCTTATACAGCGTTACATGAATAGTTTATTTCTCGGATGCAATTAGAATAACGCAAAAAGGTCAACAAGTCTTATGAAAAATTTCATATAGGGATCTCCTACGAAAATACAGACTCGCAAATTAAGACACTGGAGACTGTTTTTTTATTTCACGTGGCTCATTTATGTCGCAAGGGAAAGACTACCGCAATATTGCTTATTTTTTAACACTCAATAGTAATGACTCAAGAGCGAAATTTCTTGAAAAATGTATCCCTGATGGACGCTTTAAGATGAGTAGTTGCTTGGAGCTATTTATAAAAATTGGAAACATTCTGAGAAAGCGGAAGTATCGGCGACATCAAGAGTTTTTGACTGCTACCAAAAACTTTTTCAAAAATATAGCAGCGTTATCTACTATGACATAACATATTCCTCCTCAAATTTTCATTCAAATTGATTTAAGATGACGCAACGAATTCTAATACATAGAAGGAGTCAGCCTATATGTTTGTCGCCAAAATTAGGTACGTAGTTTTCGTGCATACTTTTGACTCACTTGACTACCAATGCCTCACAAAGTGACCGCATTGTACTAACACAATAATAATACTTACCGGTGGAAATATCTACCTTCAGCAGGCTGGTGCTGCTCTTTGCAAATTATCTAGGAATAAGTACCAAGTAACAGCAAAATATGAATTTAACGACAGAGATGTCAAAAATTTACTTACGTCAAGTGCACTTGTAGTATACATACTACAGATTATGAAAATTAGTAGACAAAAAATCCTTGACTGGCTCCTTCGGCCTAGTCCGAATTCGGATGCAACATGCAGTGGAAAGATAGACCAAAATGAGCGATATAGATTTTCGTTCACATATTATATACATTACAAAATGATAAATATGATATTCAGGTTCTTGTAAGAGAACGTAAAGCTACTACTAAGCACTATACCAAGCGCGGATCCAGAGAGTGATGACTCCCTCTAGGGCAAATCTGACTACTTATACTTTTGAATCTGTTTAGTAAATTTAATATGCAAATATGTAAAGGATACAAACGGTTAAAAATTACCAGATTTTGGTGAAAAATCACCACACCTGGTAACCCTGATCAATTTGTAAGCACATCGATGCTTGCCTGGAAATAAGAGTGTGCGTAAGTCTGGTTGCCTATACGTTCTGCTCGACGCAAATATGAATAAAATACCGTTTCTGCATGTTTCGGCTTGGTTTTTTATGTCCGTTAGTGCACCATAGCCTTATTTGTTCTGTGAATAAGGTAATTAATCGAAAATTTAGACATTCGGACAGGAATATAAGAAAAATCCTTTTCGCGCGCGCCTTTGACGCTGTGAGCAAACTTGATAAAAACACATTTTGATGGACAAAATCAGAGAAAAGCAGTCTCATCTGATTGATTGAAAGGAGATGATAAGAAGTAAGCAACAAGTTATCTAACTGTAAGAATGATCAAATCTCGCACTCTTCATCTATCAGCTCATAAGCTTATGCATTACTTCCTACTTTTGACTGAATTTATTTGTTTCTCAGTATGATAATATTGTCTTAGTTTTATCATTAACATGGCGTTTCCCAATATGGGGCAAGTATTAATGTGTGACCTGGGTCTATTCTGAAACTATTATATTTGATCCTCTCGATTTGCGAAACACTTCTTGATTCCGGAAAAATAGGACAATAAAGGAAACGTCGTTGGAAATATGTTTTTCTTATATATATATGACTTTGAAGTTGAGTCATTAATTTTCAGATAATGATTGTAGAAGGAAGATAAACCAAAATATGTGTGTAAAAATAAAAAAAAAATTAAAAAAATGTTTTACCTTGTTTTATAAAGTATCCTCTCGACAAGTATTTCAGTGCGGACCTGTATTTGATCGTGAGGTCCCTGTGAGGTCTTAAGTCACCTGATTCACGAGCCCGTTGTACTAGATTAACAAAGGCACGAGGGGTTGGTTGCACTCGATTGGGAAACCGATCCGCATAAGCATGTGCCATTTTTTATTTCGTTTGAGCCACGCAACAGACACGACTATTCACTCATGCGTTACCGACTGGCACTGACTGTATGTATACAACTGAATAAAATAATTGTAAAAACATCGTTCCAATTCTTTCGCTTTTTTGTTTCCGATGCGATGAACCGATAAGGCGGATTATATCCGTTGTTGCCAAACACGAGCACATGATATTATTATTGAGACAGGGCGGTACTCAAACTTCCAAAGGGCTATAACTTTGTTACTTTAATTTTACCAGAAAAATGGTGAAGGAAAAAAACATTTCTTTTGATCAGTGATCACTGTTAAAATAAATGACTCAACTTCGAAGTCACCCTGTATATATATATATATATAGGTAAGATTGCCCATATTGAAACCACTTTTCCTTAAATAATAAATCCAGTTGATCTAGAGTATACTTGGATATTTGAGACACAAGGTATGTATAAATACTATTTAAAATAATGAACTACTTATATGACTAATTAAAAACAAAACAATTGCAAAGGTTCATTTTGGAAACGTGTTGCCCATATTGAACCCCAGGTATCCTAAATTGAACCTACACATTATTTACAAAGATTAAGCAGTAGCAACAAAATAAAAATAACTTCATGCTAAATAAACAAAACCTTTATTTTTATAAAAACATCATACACGAAAGTATCATAGAATAATGTAACGAAAACGGTAATTTAATTTTTTTGCTCTTAAAGCCAAATTCGACTTTTGAATGATTTCCTATATTTCTACTATTCCAATAGGATTGCAAAACTACCCAATACAAGAAGTACAAAAAAATATTTTCGTTCTGGCACCTACACCTACACAATGCAGTGAACCATGCTTTGAACCATATGCATTGATCATATCACTGTATTCTGCCGTTTCACATTCTGTACAAAACCACTTTTGCGAATCCTTCTTGATTTATTAAGCCTTCAAAGGTACTTTTCTCTTCAAAGGTACTTTTGTCTTCTTACGTCTCTGCTTTTCTATGCTGTCATTAAGATAGTCCTTATAAAGGCGGCTTGTAATTTCAACCGCCTTTTGAATACCTCTACTTTTTTTATTTGACTCAACCTTCTTTGGTTTCGGCAAAGGAGCGACTTCATCCAAACTAGCGACAGACAGATGTTGATGTGCTTAGTAACTTATCTAACGCCATTTCTGTATTATCCACTACAGATGTAGAGCAGGCACTTGGTACAACCTGTTGAATTTTAGTATGGATAGAGGGATGTCGCCATCAGCACTACTTTCCTAATTTCCAAGTCTAGAAGCTTCACTTGTCGGATTTACACTAGGTCTAAGCACTTCAGATGCTACGAAATGGGAGTAATTGAACACATGCCTATTAACAGGCCAAACACCAGATGATCTAAGCGCATTTATTGCAGTCTCAATGGTCGCGCTTTTCCATATGCTGCATTTAGTAGCTCTTGCCACTTGATATTGCGTAACTGCGCGTTCAGGATTACTCCTGAACCATCTCTCTGAAGCTTGTGTATAGTTTGTCTCCAATGGTTTAAAAAAAGCCTTATCTAAAGGTTGTAAACGGTGCGTCGTATGTCCAGGCAATTGCAGCAAAAACCACTCCATTCTCCCTTGCTAAAAGAAGAGCTGCAAGGTTTTGACAATGAGTCGTGTGACCATCCAAAATAAGTAACACTTTATTTTCTTTTGTAGGACGAACACTGTCCATAAAATGTTGCAACCACTTGACAAAAGAGTTCGCTAGTGATGTATCCAGAATCAGATATCTCGATTTTACTGCCAGTGGAGCGCCATTGCTCAATTCTGCCGTATACCCTTTCCTTTTAAAAATAATAGTGGGGGTACGTAAAACCCAGCTAGCTGCACTTACACAACAAACTATGGTTGTGTTGACGCCCACTCCCCACTAGCGATGATCTGACAGGTTTTGAACCTTCCTTGCCACAATTTTCTGACATTCTTAGCTACAGTCGAGAAACAAGACTCGTCCACATTAAAGATGGTGGGTAGCATTGATTTTGTATTTACCATATATTCCTTAGAGTAAATCAAAAAAATGCATAACATTTTCCCTGTTAAATCCTTTTATCCTATTAATTGAAGTAGACTCAGGCTGACGCAGCGATAATTGTGGGTGCCTCTTCATAAAACGGTAGTACCATTTCTTTCCTGCATTCTGACCTCTCTATTGAACTGGTGAGGAAGCCCATTTTTTTCAGCTAATCGAATGCAAGTTTCTGATATCACGAATTGTCAATCCGAACAAGCAGTTTGCAAAACTGTGTTATGCGCTCACAAAGTAGTGTAGATTTTGGAAATACCATAATCTCGGCTGCATTCGTTTACTACCTTTTTCACCATTATTGTATGCTGTTAAACTTTTTCCATATCATCTTGCTGACCATGTTCCATAATTTTCCACGTTTGCCATCTAAAAATAAATAATAGTAAGTATTTCAACGAAAATACCAGAAATCTATCCACTACAGCAGTCTAAACACAATAACAATTGGAGGACGTATAGTTGCCTAAATTGAAACCCAGTTCGATTTTGGACACTGTTAATGGTTCAATACTGGCAGCCAGCATAACATTTAAAACATAACCTCAAACTAAAAATTAAAATGGTTGTAAAATATGTCAATACTCTAAAGATACCTTAATTGACCTGGTATTTACTACTATTATCAAAGTTGCTCTCACCTTGCTTGGAAGTTTTCGGTTACCTTAGGGAAGGGTACCAGAAAATTACTTTCGAGTGACAGTAAACCTGTTAGCACAGCACTGCCACCTGTTCCCATAAAATTCAAGGATCTTCTCGCGGAACAATCTAACTATGGATGGTGATTAATATTCGATCTTATATTGCGCTAGCTTTATACAGATTAGAAAAATCGCATGGGTTCAATTAGGAGCAGGTTCAATCTGGGCAACCTTACCCTATATACAGGGTTATCCAAATTAAGTGTCCACCATTAGTAACTTTGTTATTAGTGAAAATACAAAGTTGTTTGAATTAGCAAACTAGTAGCATTTTTAACGCTGGTAAAAATGAGAAATAAAAAAAACAATTGAGAGTCGTTATTTTGATTTTTTTCAGTAAAATAACATTTTTTTCAAATGGAAACCCCTGTATATTATATTTTTTTTCTGTTAAAGCATCAAATTTTAAACAAAAAGCTTACAATAACTTTTCTCCTAGGTTACAAATTGTTGAAGTTATGGCCTGCCAATCTGAAACAATTAAATTGTATCGACAAACTTTATTTTCAACATCAACTTATAATCTTACAAAATACAATAACAATTTTTTTTAAAGAAGATGCTCGAAAACACCACCTTGTTCTTCAATACATTTTTGGGCACGTTTTTCAACTGCTCGAACTGTCTTAAGTATGGTCCTACCATCTATCTGGGTTATCTTTTCCCTAACTGCAGTCTTTAACGCGTCAAGGTTATCGTACCTTCGCTTGTAAATTTGGTTCTTTAAGTAACCCCACAAGAAGTAATCAAGTGGGTTTAGATCTGGTGATCTGGGAGGCCACTGTATTGGGCCATTTGTTCCTATCCACTGATCATTAAAAGTAGTACTTAGAAAATGATAAGTACCTCTGGAGTTGTGGGCAGGTGCGCATCTTGCTGAAAATGCAGATGATGTCTACTTATAAGATCCAATTCGTCTAAGAAATTAGTCAGAATTTCTGACATAAATTCCACATATCTTTCACCAGTTAGGGTTCCCTCATAAAAGAACGGGCCAACAATTTTTGAACCAATTATACCGCACCAAACGTTGAAACTGAAACGGACTTGTGGGCCTCTTGGATGTACTAACAAAAGATTTTCTCTTGACCAATAATGGTGGTTTTTTCTATTAAACATTCCAGAATTTGAAAAATTTGATTCATCTGTCCATAAAAGGTAACGAAGTTATTTACATTTTGGCGACAGAAGCTAAGATACCAATGGCAAAAAACAAGTCTTCTCTCTGGATCCCCTGCCAAAGCGTTTGAACTGGTCGGTACTTATACGGAATAAATTTGTATTTTTTTAAAATCCTTTGAACAGTACCATAACTGAAATTAGAGTCCTTGAGAATATCTGCTATTGAATTCTCACGATAAGCTTCAAAATATCCAATAACTGCAATTTCCGTGGCCTCGCTTATTATGAATTCTTTTTTTGCCCTTGTTTTAGCAAAAACATTTTCGTTGCCCCTAAATTTTCGATAAAGTCTCAGAAAATATCGTTCATACGGTTGAATGCGAGCGGGATATAATTCACTGTAGTATTCTCTTGCTCTCAAGGAGGATTTTCTGCACACTAAATAGCATTCTAACATATCACACTTTTCTTCATGGGAGAACATTTTTCTTTAAATTAATGACACAATAAAGCTTATAAACAAGTATTTACACTAATGTTTGACATTATTTGATTTATCATTGTTTTCCAAAGCCTTCTAGTTGCGAGTATGTCCAGTTTAACAATTTGTCGCTTATCTTAATGCTGTCAAATCGCGAACGCCATGTTGTTTTCATAGCCGTCTTAATATTATAATACTGCAAATAATTAAAATATTTATCGTTATTTTGACTTTATTTTTGACTTTAGCGGAAAAGTCATTATGAACTTTTTTGTTTAAAATTTGATGCTTTAACAGAAAAAAATATAATATACAGGGTTTCCATTAAAAAATGTTATTTTACTGAAAAAATCAAAATAACGACTCTCAATTGTTTTTTTTTATTTCTCATTTTACCAGCGTTAAAAATGCTACTAGTTTGCTAATTCAAACAACTTTGTATTTTCACTAATAACAAAGTTACTAATGGTGGACACTTAATTTGGATAACCCTGTATATATATATATATATATCGCCGCTTAAGTTTTTAACATCGAGTAACTCAAAAAATGGCGATATCATGCGTGTCATGTCAAATTTTGGTCTTTTAAAAACTTGTCAGTTTTGAGCTACGCTGTGTGAGAACATAAGTGACGATCCAACTAAAACTATTAACTCATTTAGTTCGCCAGAGACGGACTAGCCATAAACGCAATATATTGCTAATTTTTTTACACCTTTGTATAATAATGCCTACAAAATAGTAATTTTGGAAATTATAACCTACTGTTCCATCTACATCATTGTAATACTACCTGCGGTTGTTTCAAGAATTTGAATTCTGATATCATCCACCGTTTTGTTTAATATTCGTGGTTTTCAGGTCGCTGATGACGGATCAATTATCAAATTTTCAATACGAGTGAACCAGTAACGGTTCCATAATTTAGAAAACTGTACCAAAAGTAATAAGGCTGTTGTACTTCAAAACCCCAGAAGGGCTCAGTGAATAAGACACACCCCTTCCCCTCCGGAGATAAAAATTCTCCTGAACATGAATCCTGTGACCCCCTGACATAAATTCTGGTCCCTTGCGCTATATAAACCAATATTCCTGTCAGCCATTCTTTCTTATAAGTCGATTTATCGTCCTTCAAATGTCGCCTTTTACGTTTGCTTTTTTCTTTTTCAGCCGAGAAGATAGTGATTCCCAAGCCCCAGTTTCTCTCCAAAAAGCCCGAATACCCTGCGCCAGCTTCGTCCAGCAATCTGTACAATCCCTACAAAGACAATAGAAAGCTCCTTATAGAAGCTGAACACCGGGCATGTGTTAAGGAAGCCGAGGCTAGTAGATCGGCTATTGCTAACCTGACAAAAGAGATGGTATCTGCCCAACATGCTAATTCTTTCATCATTGAAGAAACTTGCTCAGAGACCACAGTTGAGAATTTCATCCCGCATCCTACAGTAGGATTTGGTGCTGGTCAAGTGTTTTTGCCCACTGACCCAAAAGTGTCCAACAATGTCATTCAGTCGACCATACCCAGTAGCTCTGAAGAACTTACTGCTGATTCTATTGGGAAATGAAGCCCACTCTAGTGTGAAGATACTGTTCAAGACCAGTGATGGAAGCTTCGTCACTGTTAGTGACGAAGTTCTCCAGATCTTCAGAAGGATGATATGCCAATATCAAGTGATAGACGAAGTTGAAAAATTAGGCGACGTTCAGGATTTGCAACTGACAAAGGATATGACCAATGCGGCAGCTGGAGATATACCACTTTTTCCGGAAACTTTTGATCTATTCGGCAATGCTCAAACAGACTCGGCAAATATCACCAATGAACCACGTGAAGTAGTGGATAACGCTGGTGCTTTGATCGACCCGGAAAACGTAGGGATACCTTCACTGGACACTGAAGGGTTGAATGAGAGCTATCCAGTCGAAAAGCATAAACGAAGCATGCCTAGTTTGGACTTTTCTCCTGATATGTTTTTCGCTGACTGATAACAAGAGGATTTGTTTGGAAGAGGACACCTCGAAGCAGTGACATGTTGTTTGGTTTTTAGTTTTTTGCAGGGATAATTGTAGTCATTATTATATTTTGAATACTTACGCTGAGAAGCAGCCAGATCATTGCAAGGTTGAAATGCAAATGATGGATAATAAAGGAAGCATTCCTTCTACCGCCATTACTGATCAGATGGAAGATAAAGTTTGGACTTTTCTCCTGATATGTTTTTGCTGACTGATAACAAGAGGATTTGTTGGAAGAGGATACCTCGAAGCAGTGACATGTGTTTGGTTTTAGTTTTTGCAGGGATAAATTGTGTTCATTATTTGTTTCAATAAAAACAAATTTCAGTGATTACAGTTATGTGTTTCGGACTCCTTTGCCCGACCCTTTTCAAGTACAATGACAATTAATTCAGGAGTTACCTTAGTAGTTTCCTTTCGAATTAGATCAGTCAAATCATTGTGGAAATTACATACGCAAATTTGCTGAATTTCAAAAATGAGAAAGAAAAGAAAAGAAAATCCCTGGTTGGTGAAGTAACAGGTGAGAAAATATTGCTACAGACAGTAATATTTATGAAAGTGAAAGGGTTATTTACTACATTATTTTTATTTCCAGTTCAGTCTAGAAATTTATTTTGCGATGTCAATAGAAAATACAAATCATCGTCTAGATGTGAGACACTGCGCAAATGTTTGAAGTATGATGCGTCATTCCTAATTTTACTGTGATGTGGCTTATTGCACACAACGCGGGGCGCAGTGGCGATTTCCCATAATCAAGTTTTGATAACACAAAAAAAAAACGGGAGCTATCGTAATTTATAACTTTGAATATAACCCGTACACACAAAGGACAACATATAAATAACTCGTCGGGCACAGCTAATAATACTCCATGTAGACCAATACACAAAATCATCCAGATGTGATCTTGCTACTCAACCAACCTTTCATTCTTTCACATCCTCTCAGACTACAGACTACTCGGATTTACAAAACATACGAGTATACTAGCTTTCTGCAACCAACAATGCGCGTAGCTGAGTAATTCCTCCATAGATCAACGCTTACAAAACTACCTAGTCTGCAAGATGACATTTCGATGTTTTTTGACATTTTATAGGGTTTTTACATAATAGCCGTGGTGTAGGACGAACTATGTAAGGAATAAATCGTCATCTTCATGAACTTCTTGGGTTCAAGCCAAACAGATGGCGTCAAATAGGTTAAACTCTCCATTCCCACGCAACGCCCTTATCAGTACGTAGAGGAATATGTTCAGCACAAACTAGACTTTCTGAGGAAAAAGTGAGTCAAGCAGGTCTATACAATTAGTCCATACATATTTTTAACTGAGCGATTTTAATCGATTTCGTTTTAGGCCTCTTTCTTCGGCCCCACTGAACGGATTCTGAAGGTAACTACAAAGCTTTTGCATAGTAGTGAGATTGTGTAATTGCATCGAATCCGAGCGGCATTTCTCAAGTTATAGGCGGTTATAAGATTAGAGGACAGACCGACATGGTTTTTCATTACGTGTATGTCATATAACATCCAAAAAACCATATTTTCGAAATTTTGCGCGATTACAATACAACCTTACCAGTAGGCGTGGGATGTAAAAAGCTCTTCGAGATAAAAAGTAGTTAAATTGTCCCAGGACTTTTATGAGCCAACTATGTCTATCGATTTTAAAACACTAAAATTGCCTTGAGTATGGATGTTATTGTTAATAAATTTTGTGAAAAAAACAGTGTCAAGTAAACTGAAATGGTACTTTCTACGCTTACACATGGCCTATTTTCGAATATTCCGTACCTGCAGACTGAAAATTAAAAATTATTTTTATATGTACGTCAAACATGAGCCTTGCTAAAAATTAGTTTTTGTAGGACCCAGGGTCGTAGCAACCGCCATATCAGCCGCATCAATGCCCCAGGGGCCCCGGATTACAGGGGCTCGACTGTGTAAGAAGAAATTCGTAAAGTCTCATTCACCACCTCATACATTTTTAAGTGGCACGCCATACTATAAATTATCAATAACTGAAGCCTTAGATCAGGGTTTCCCAACCTTTTTTGTTGAAGCTCCCCAGACTATAAATTATATTTTCATGCCCTCCATTACCTTTTCAATAAATACAAAAAAAATGCAGATTATATAGATACAAAGACTTTTATTTTAATTCTAATAAAGAAACTTTAAAAGTTTAAATAAACTAATAAATGTTTTTTATCGAAAAACTTGAATAAAATGGTAGATTCTAGGTTCTGTTTTTGCAGAGCTATCATCAGGTCGCTATCGATATCAAGACGATTTCGCTGTTTAGCTTAGTTGCAACTAGAGCAGAAAAGCCTGTCTCACATAAGTGAATTGAAGAAAAGGCAACTAGTATTCGTAAAACAAGAGAGGCAAGTGTCGAATTAACAGGCAATCTTTGATCCAAATTTTCTCCAATGTAAAAATGGAAGTCATCTTTCATGGACGAATCAACGTTCATTTCTAGAAATTCTTCCTGAACTTCTTCTGGTAATTGTGACTCTGAATTTATCTCTCGATACTATCGGTGAAAACTCGTCTTTCAGCGCTTGCAAATGAGTTTTTATGTAAGCTTGTAAATTTTCGTCCAGTATGTTATTTTTAATTGCCTAGAACAGCCGAGAAAAAGATATAACATTTCAGAAGACAATTTTTGATTTCAAAGTTCAAGCTTGAATATACTCATAATTGCTTATTATAGTGTTGTTTCTGCCTTGAAGTTTCAAGTTTAGCTCATTCAAGGAGTCAAATATGTCAGTTAAATAAGCCAACCTCCATTGAAATGTGTCATCTTTGAACACTGTCAAAAAAACGTGTTTTTCTTTGAACTCACGAAAAAGAATCACCATTTCTTTCAATTCATAAATGCGAGCCAACATGTTGCATTTGGACAGCCATACTTGTGTATGGAACAGAAGAGCTTTGTGATCAGAATCGAGATCGTCGCAATGTCAAATAAATAACCGACTGTTAAAAGCGCTGCTCTTAATGTAGTTCACAATCCTTATCGCCGAGTCCAAAATCTGGCGTAATTTCTGTGGCCATGTTTTAGGAGCCAAAGCTTGCCGATGAATAACACAATGTGTACTAAGCATTGCGGGATTTTTTTCCTTGAGCTTTTTAGCTAAGCCCAATGGTACACCTATTATTGCAGCTACGCCATCTGTGCAAAGTCCAATGAGTTTATTCCAATCCAAATCATTTTTTTCAACAAATTTGATATTGAATTAAATATATCTTCAGATATAGTACCTGCTGTACAAAACCTCTTCTTGAATGATATCTCCGCCGATGTAATGAACATAAACTATTATCTGTGTACAATTAACGATGTCGCTGGATTAATCGCAACTAATGGCAATAATTTTACTTTGTTAATTATTTGTGACTTTATGTCTGCTGCAATGTCATCGATTCTACGCTTGACTGTGTTATTCAAAAGAGAAATAGACTTCATTTTTTGCTCTGCATCTTCTCCTAAAATTATCTACGTGGCTTTTAGGACAAATGGTTTTATTAATTCTTCACCGATAGCATGAGGTTTCTTTTGCTTGGCTATCATAAAAGCTATTTCAAATGAAGCTTTGAGATGCTGCGATACACCCATGTGATAGCTTCCCGACTTATCCAGTCTCATCCGCTTGAGTGATTCTGCTTTAGAAGAAAAAAACTCTTTCGTCTTCAAAACCAGAGTAGGATGTTGTTGCTTCAAATGCCTTTCAAGGCGATTGGGTCTCATGCTATTATTACTTAAAACTTTCATACATACACTTTGTGCTGTTATGCAAAATGCAAAGAAATGAATGTAGACTGTAGTGATCTGCGGGTTAAAGGCTATTTAAATCTTGTCATACTAATATTTTAATTTTTTTGATATACTTTTTTGCTTAAAAGGATACATTTCTATATTTTTTCACTGTATTTTTATTTTTTGTTTGTTTGCTACAAGCCTTCAAAAAATCACTAGAAATATAACAATTAACAAAGTTTTAACTAAATCACGAGATCTAGTGAAATTGCACTAGACTTGGCAACATTGAATGCAAATGAAGATTGGAAAACTGGCGATTTTCCAGCTCAGCGGACAATTTTGCTATATCTGCTATTTTGCTAGAATGTCATATAAAAAAGAGGCTTTGAATTTAACATTGAGCGATTCCAATGGAGATAAATATAAAATTTGAGGCGTAGTAATGTTAATGTCTCTGAACGCTTTTATAAATGCTCAATTTTATAGGATAAAATATTTTTTTAATACGGGAAAAAACTATTTTTTTATTATATAAATATATTTATTAAGTACTTGATCTAAAATTATATGATCATTAATACTACTATTTAGTAGGGGAATATGGATTTTTAGTGACTGAATTCGCACTTGGGCGAGGAAAACCTCAACCGTCACTGCTAAGATTAATTGCATCAGCTGAAGAAAAATCAAGTCGTCCCATAATTCTGGCTTCAGTTGTACAATCGAAAATAGCCAGCATGCCACAGTTATTAACCTAAAAAAATAGCATTGAAGTAACAGTTTATCCGAGGGTCATTTTTTAAGTAAGACCCGTTTTGTAATCCAGTCAGAGAAATTTTATTTATGAATGTAAGTTGTATCACAAACATAAATATGAACATTTTTTAATTTTTCAACATAGCCACCATAAACATTCAAACACAAGTCAATCCGTTGCACCTTTTTGTGTTAATGTAGCTTCTGAAACTTATCGTGCTGTTTCCATGACGGCTATTTCCCTCGTCTTAATCCCTACCAATCACAAAGCGGAATTTTGAATTACAAATGGTTTCTAGATGGAAAAATTGTATGACTACCTGCATTATTTTTCCAGTTTACCCGCGGCAAGTCTTGTCAGCTGTTGTCACCAAAAATTACAATACCTCTGATAATAAGTAATTATGACCTCCTAGGCTAGGGTAAAGTTTTTAATACTGTTTTTAACATTGCTAGTCAGCTTATGTAGTGAAAATGAGTCGCTTTGGAAATGATTCTTTGACTAATATTGATCTGGCGATTGAGATATACCTCAGTATATGACTTTCGACAACTGTCGGCGCAGCAGAATTTCTACGCGTTCACATCTCCGTGCAGAGCTCTATTCGGTTTAGTTACTTCTTTTCAGTAGTGGTGTTCAGTATAGGGTTCTCGATTGTGTCTCAGTGGTGCCTTGGTGTTGTGACGTGGGTGTTAAGTGTCTCAAAGTGGAAATTAGGTCTACTTCCAACTCGTCTGAGGGAAACAGGATATCTGTGCAGGAAAATATAGGTGAGCCTTGCATACTCATCTACTTGTGGGTTAGGGTTGACATCCTATGTTTTTTAAATAAATAATAAATTGCGCACATTGCATACACTGAGAAGTTAGTCATATACTAAGGTATTTGGGAAAAACCAAAATTTGGCCAGATCGTTTTTATTTTTGTCTGACTTTTATTTTAAGAAATGTCAAAAAACTAATGGCACTACATGATGGTGTTTTTTAAAAAGTGCTACACTGTATCTAATAACAGCTTTTTCTAGGACTTCAACGATGTATCACGTAACATTTGTTTTTTAGTTCTAAACAAAGGGGTTTTTTTCTACTTTTTCATTATAATTAAGTAGGCGTTGCAAACAAATGCTTGATGTAAGATTGTGTGATTACTGAGTTTAACCTAGTCTGATCCTTATCTTGACCACCCCTAATCGAACATACTTGTAAGTATTCTTATGTACTTACATTCATTTCTGAAAAATCTCAAAACTATTAGCAAGGTCCAAGGAATTGGTGATAGATAGCAGAGGTAGCAAAATCGTCCGATGAGCTGGCAACGCCGCAATCCAGGTGACAAGATTAACTTTCAACGTATGTCTATCCCGGGGTAATGACGGAGTCATTTAGAACGTAAATGCGGCAGTTTTTCAATCTTCATTTGCCTATTTTTAAGTATTGTGCAACGATTTCGAGAAAAATTATGTAGGGATAGTCTAGTAGAGTATATTTCAATAGTTGTCTTGCGTGGCCAAGTTATTTTTACTCGGACCAACCTACCTTCCAAACATCCAGACACAAATAAAAGAGGTTAACTAAAAATTACAGCAATTAACCGTCATACTTGTCAAAGTTGCCATTTTTTCTGGATCAAAACAGTATTGTCAGGTTGTTTCGGCAACACCGCACTGTTTCCCATTCTCCCATATGTGTTGACTCCCCATGGAGTATAATTTCGACAAAACACCTGGTTTAGTTTTTATCCGCACCTACCTCAGTTTGTGCACAATCTGGCAACCATGTTGCATCCAGAAAAAAATGGGTGCTTGCCAGTGACATAAGTCAATCGTGTTCAGACTGTTCAGTGTATTATGTTTTGTGCTTGCCAATCCGTCATACGTCAACGACCAACGACAATTGTGAACGTCAACTAACTTGGGATATTTACATCTACATTCCATGATGGCAATATTTGTGAAATTTTCGTAAAGGTGATAAACTAATATATTTTTGAAATGATAATGTCCTCGGCAAACATGTCTCAAAATAATTCATACTCAAACGATCGTGGTTTTGATGCAGATTATGTAGTAGATCCAGCATCTGGAGGCTTCTTTCATGCAGACTTCAAAAGGTGAATTGTCAGCAGATTTTTGCTGTATGTTTTTCAATAAATTTTCTGTTTTAGGCACGATGATCTCAAGGAAATGCTGGACTCAAATAAAGATAACTTAAAGCTAGAAGCTATGAAAAGAATCATAGGGGTAAATACATCAATTCCAATAAATTGTAAGTGCTATTTTAATAAACATTATACTGGCTTCTAGATGATAGCTAAAGGAAGAGATGCATCTATGCTATTCCCAGCAGTTGTGAAAAATGTCGTCTCAAAGAATATTGAAGTGAAAAAGTTAGTATATGTCTACCTGGAAAGATATGCTGAAGAACAGCAAGACTTGGCTCTCTTATCTATATCAACTTTCCAACGAGCTCTGAAGGTGAGATAATAAAATGGCTTACTAAACTAAGATGAATCTAACACTCATTATTGTATTATATATGTAGTTGTTTGCAAATTGCCTAACAAGCAGTTCCTATTCTGGTAAAGGTAAATGTCAAGAATTTTCATAGAAGTGACAAGTTTTAAGATGCGATTCCACCAGTGTGCTGAACTGTGCGGCACTCTAATGCACAGTGTACAGCACAAATGTTTCTTCTGGTCGACTCATTCACGCAAACAATAGCAAATGGTGCGGAAACATTCGCGAACATCATTTACTTTTGTGCGCGCGCACATGCAAGCAGTGGACTCGCGTCGGCGGGTACATACTTGTTGTTCGCGAACTCAGTATTGCTCCCGCTCCTGGAGTGAAAACATTTGTTTGTACGCGCACTTCTTTTACGAAATTGAAAATGGACTGGACGAATGATAGGATTATAAAATTTATTCAAGCAATTGAAAATTATCCTCTTCTATGGGATTCCAGTCACACTGATTATAAAAACAGAAACAAAAAACACTCAAGAGTTGGCTCAAAGTTTCAATTGTGACTCGACTGAGGTAATGAGAAAATGGAAGATTATTTTGGCTCGGTACCGAAGAGAAAAGAAGAAAATAGCGAATTCAAAATCTTCAGGTGCTGGGTTTTCAGATTTATTATTTGTTATTTTATATTGTTATCACAACTGCAGTTTTTAACGCCAAGATCCGTTTCAAGATGTAATGTTACTTTCTTTTGCTGTTGTGCTAACACAAATTTGATTTTGAAATCACCTGAAAGGGTTATGTGTTTGAATTATAGTAGTATTTGTAAGTTTTGTGACATATTTTTATGTTCTATTTCGGAGCTAAAAGGAACTCAAAACCTTCACACGATATACGAGTAAAATTTTTAAATCCACTTCTACAAATCTATTCATTTCTTCATTCCATCACTGCAGAAAAGGCCTCACCCAACATCGTGGTTTTCTTCTTCGTTTCTGTTTAAGCAGACTACCTATTAAAACACAAGCTGCAGCACAAAACACTATGTATTCCCGCCTATCCATATTAAGAACTGAAGTTAGTGAGAACTTTGCTTGGTAAACATGTTCGTGCACAAGTGTGCTACACTGTACGCTTACAAAAGTTATGCACTGCTTTGCCGGTGGACACAGAAGATAAATTCGATACCAGTGAGCACATTCAATGCTGGAGTTTCACACAAAATGTTTGTAAACAAATGTGGTGAACACTATTTTGGTGGAATCGTACCTTTAGAAACACTGTTTCCACTTTTGTCTATTATTTTGTATATTAGTATATTATGTTTTATCTTCATATAAAAAGCAAAAAATACAGTAAAACATCAGGAATTTCTTGGAAATAACTTGTGTTAGTAATACAGGTTTCACTGTTGTTTATTATTTGTATTCTTGTGTTTTCTGTAAATTTTGTTTGCAAATGTCACATTTTTTGTGTTTCAAATGTTATTGACATTGTAATAGAAAATTAAAATAACATATCGGCTATATGCTGCAAACCTGTGATGCATGTTTCTTTCATGTGTATGACGTCTTTTGTCTTGTAAACAGACAACCAAGACTACTCCATAAAAGATTTGTTGAAATTACTTTTGAAAATGTGGAACACAAGGCTATTATTAGTAAAGATGCCAGAGGAGAACATGTTAAACTTGTTCTAATTAAAACTTCTGATTCATTAGCTACTTTGATGTTACTTTTATCACCATTGCAGTTTGTCTCAAAGAAATGCCTTTTTATTTCATACACTTGGTGATGAAATGAGTGTCATTCTACTGAAACCTTTTTTTTGTATATGTGTCAAACATTTTCAACTTGAAAAAGAGTCAAATACTTGATAAATTATATACACATATCATTTGCAGGAACCAAACCAGTTAATACGAGCAGGAGCTCTAAGAGTGTTATCTAGCATACGAGTTAAAGTAATAGCACCAATTGTGATGTTAGCAATAAGAGATGCATCATCTGATATGTCACCTTATGTTAGAAAAACTGCTGCTCATGCTATCCCTAAGTTATATAGGTAAATCATGCTCAACGTTACTTAAATACATTTTCAGCAATTGTTTCAATTTCACTTGCATATCATAGTATAACTAGTATCTTTTACAAATATTAAAGAATTATTCCGATTTAAGGAAGTTAGGTCATTTTCTGTGTTAGGTGCTCTAAGTGAGCGCCCTCGCGCGTCAAGGTTCGGTCGTGACATCACATGACATAAGTTCAGCTTCATTACAAAATTGATGTATATGATACAATTTCTTTTACAGTTTGGAACCTGAGTTAAAATCCGAACTGATATCAATAATTCAAAAACTACTAGCAGACAAAACAGTGCTAGTGATAGGTTCAGCAGTAATGGCATTCTCAGAAGTGTGTCCAAAAAGGGTAGATTTGATCCATCAAGTTTACAGGAAGCTTTGTGCCTTGTTAGTGGATGTTGATGAATGGGGCCAGGTTACAATTGTCAATATGTTAACACACTATGCCAGGACACAATTTGCTGACCCAAATTTACATGTAAGAAACAGCAAACTCTACTACTGTTAGTTACTCAATATTACTTGATCTAAAGATTTATGTGTAAACTACTTACTTTTTGAATGGCGCAATGAAATTAATGAATGCATGAGTGTATGTGGCAGTCGGATATTTTAAAATGAGGGCTGGCCACTGTTTAGGAACATTATCTCAAATGAAATAGGGGGTTATGCGGGACCTCATTTTGAAGCTCCTCATTAGTATCCAATCCATAACTCTGGAATATAAAATAAGTATTATCCCGCCAAAACTAGGTTCAGTCATAGTTAATGAGACCTCCGGGTGTGGTTCTTTGTACCTTGGATGCAGTGGTGATTTGGGCGCCACCTAGTTTCAAAAACAAGGAAATGAAATAACAAGTATCACTGTTGGGATTCTGGCGCTAAAGGAAATACAAACTCACAAGATACACAGACATTTATTGAACAAAAAAAATAAAAGAATTTAAAGTAGTCCTCAAAGACAAGTTGAAGAGAATTAATCGGTATTACCCCCCTAGCTAAATGGTTATAAAAAAACCTTGGCTATCCCCGAACGGCAACCGAGGGCAGGAAGTCCCAGATGTCCCTGTATACCTGAAGGTAGAACCCAAGGTAAAACCGGATGGTAAAACTGCAGGGTAGAACCCTAAATACGTACGTAGAAAAAATTACTTGTAAAAAAAACACGAAATCACGATTTGACTACTAATCCCCCCTTTTAATTTGGTTCCAAGAATTAAAGATTTAACTTTGACATGGAACCATTTAGTCTTGGTAACAGAATATGAAATCAATATCTTCCAAAATAGCTGACTGGCAGACTGTCAGCATTGAGCAATTTTGGACATACCACCTTTCAAAGTGTCATCAAAACACTGGTATTTTGTGCTAGTAGGCGAAAATCTGATGATTGTCACCTACCAGTGGCTTGCCATTCACATCCTCACTACTGATATGGGCATGTTTCCTTTTCATCTTCTGCATCCATGACCAAACGCAGACAGCGCCGTTTCATGCTCTTTAGCAAATGGGAAATTCTTGGGAGTTTGTATTGACCAATCACTTTCCTGGGTTAAACATATAGAACATCTAGGAAAAAGGTTAAACAATGCATGCTATAGCATCAGGGTACTAAGTAAGTACCTAGACCTTGATACACTAAAAACGGTATATTACGCGAATTTTGAGTTTTGCCATAATTTTTTCCGGACGTATGTGCAGCAGCCATACCTATAGAATCTTTCTAGTGCATAGTGTGTGCTGAGATGCATCCTAAAAATTTCCTTTAGGGAGACTTGCAGAGGAAATTTAAGAGTTATAAAATTTTAACTGTAACCACAATATACAGGGTGACTTTGAAGTTGAGTCATTAATTTTCAGATAATGATTGTAGAAGGAAGATAAACCAAAATATGTGTGTAAAAATAAAAAAAATGTTTACCTTGTTTTATAAAGTATCCTCCCGACAAGTATTTCAGTGGGGACCTGTATTTGATCGTGAGGTCTTGGAGCACCGGCATGCCGTCCATATGTGAGGTCTTAAGTCACCTGATTCACGAACCCGTTGTACTACATTAACAAAGGCACGAGGGGTTGATTGCACCGATCCGCATAAACATGTGCCATTTTTTATTTCGTTTGAGCCACGCAACAGACACCACTATTCACTACCGACTGACACTGACTGTATACAACTGAATGAAATAATTGTAAAAACATCGTTCCAAATTCTTTCGCTTTTTTGTTTCCGATGCGATGAACCGATAAGGCGGATTATATCCGTTGTCGCCAAACACGAGCACATAATATTATTATTGAGACAGGGCGGTACTTAAACTTCCAAAGGGCTATAACTTTGTTACTTTAATTTTATCAGAAAAATGGTAAAGGAAAAAACATTTCTTTTGATCAGATCTACTCACTGTTAAAATAAATGACTCAACTTCGAAGTTACCCTGTATATTCAAGAGGTACTAATGCTTACATTTAAAAACATTGACAATTTTATGGGTAACCCACGAAGTGACTATAACACAAGAAATATAAATACAAATCTCCTGTATCCAGTCCATCATCTCACGGTTACCGAAAAAAATGTCCATTACAGCTGCACTAAAATATATAATACAAGGTGGGCCATTAAGTTGAGCGGATTTTTAAAAATCATAGAAAAAAAACTACAAAGCGTAGGGAAGATAATTCATATTTTTATTGAAGTATACATATTTGAATTTTATTTTTAAAAAATAACATTATTGAGATGTGAGCCATCGACACGTACGTACTCCTGAAAACTCACTGGCACATCGCTCGTGTTATAGTGGTCATCTCCTCGGAAATTTGCTTGAGCTGGACAATCGTCGTCAGTTTATTGGCGTGAATGATGCTCTTGAGGTATCGTCGGAAAAAAAAATATGGCGTGAGATCTCGGGAGGCCACGGAATGTCCTTTCGTCGCGATATCAGTTTTCCACCAAACATTTCGTTCACAACTGCTAAAAACTCGTTGGCGATATGGGATGGCACGCCATCTTGTTGAAACCAGGTCCTGCTATGGTAGCCTGCAAAATTATGCAGTTGTGGGAAAAAAAGGAAAAAATAGGGTCAGATGATTCCTTCAGCAGATATGACGGACCAAACTGTAACATAACGCGATTGCAAAGGTCGTTCGTGTTTTAATTTGGGATTTTCTGCGGCTCAATACCTTTAATTTTGCTTGTTGACAAATCAATTTAAATGAAAATGAGCTTCATCAGAAGAGAGAATATTGTTCAAACTTCGAAACTTGTTTCGGCCAACGCACGGCATAGATGGTGGTCCTGCGGTTTCAATTCCTGCACTAGTTGAAGTTTATACGGGTTCAATTTAAAGTCTCTTACAAAAATACGCATTACAGATGTTCTTGATATGGCGAACTCAGCTGATCTTCCCATTCTATGTGAAAAATATTTAAAGGCCATCATAAAATGTTTAACTGCCACTTTTCCACTAAAATAGAAGTACGAGTTGAGTTGATATACAATACAGTTTTTCATGTAAATTTTAGAATACAGCTAATGAATCGGACAAAGATTCTTATGACTCAAACTCTGAGTTGTCGGATAAACCTGTCCCAAGCTTGGACCCAGATCATCGTTTATTATTGCGTTCAACACGTCCGTTGCTGCAGTCGAGGAATGCAGCTGTTGTGATGGCAGTTGCACAATTGTATTATCACTCAGCACCCGCCAGCGAAGCTCCACTGGCTGCCAAAGCATTAGTTAGGTAAGCTTCAACTAACTCCAAATAACCAAACTAGCGACATATCTGTCGTTCGTCCGACCACAGACGGCCAATCATGGACAGCCATGTCGTGCTATTTGGCAACTCTTCAGCATGGTCTCGGTGTACAACAAATGAAGGCTTTGGTGCAAAAAGGTGTTAAAAGGGTGCTTTTTTGGTAGTACATCTATCCAGTTCTTAGATACAGAGATTCATAAAAGTGTTAACTATATCAAAAACTTCAATCTGTAAACTTTAAAAGGTGTTAACTCTTGCATTACAGGTAAAAAGTTAAGGGTTAATTCAGTTTTCGTTTAAAATGGAAAGATGTTTACGATGTAGGATCGAATGAGGAACATGCGGCAAAGTATAAAAAAGCTTTTGACGTACAAAAATCTGATCGAGGAATAGCAAAAACAAACGAAAAAATCATATACCTCACATTTGATTTACAAAAAAGGCTTTCCTTGCCGAAAATGTCTTCTATTTACGACAAGAATGGTTCTAAATCTAGGAATACATTTGATATCAACACAGCAACCAAATGGTAAAGGTTTTTTTTTCACGTCTGGACCGAAGACCAAGGAAATCGCGGTTCTGAAGATGTTGGCAGCTCACTTATGGCCTTTTTGGAAAATATCAAGGACCAAGGCATGGTTTGCGATCATCTGATTGCATGGAATGATTCAGCCGGTGCCTAAAATAATATATATATATATATATATATATTCTGTCTATGGCACTACCCAATAATCTCTGGAGTATTCAAAAAAATTTACCATAAGTTCCCCGAAGTACTTTTAATAAATAACATCATTGAATTAACACCTTTCTGCTACTTTCATTTTCCGGGACAAACAAATAACAGTTTTTTAAAAAGGTGTTAAGTCAGATTTTCAAGAATCTTTTTCAAATTTCTGATAATAAAAACAATTTTTTCAACAAAACTGTCTATTCGAGATACTGTTATAAGTGTCTAAAATAACATTCAATGATAAAAGCAGCCCTAACACCATTCAATAAAAAATGTCAGGATTTAAACTTTGAAGCCAATTATCTCCAAACTATAAAATCTGAGTTAACACCTTTTTGCACCAAAGGCTTCAAATGAAACCTGATCAGCTTTACTCTATTCAGAGACAGCACAAAGTACCATCTACTACGAAATAACCAATTATCCAGTATATTTACTCTAAGGCATATTTTTCAATATGTGTATGCTGTTTAACCATTTTCCACAATTCCATCGTTTTTGAACCACCATTATGCATTTATATTTATATACAGGGTGTCCCAAAAGTCGTGGATCAAACCAAAGGGTGTCGTTTCCAATCAGAAAAAATCATACGAGGTCTGTAAATTAAGTTGTGAGACTGATTTTTAAAATTTTTTATCCAAATGTAATTACAATTTTATATTGTCACCCTCAAAATAATTTACTTCTGAAGCCACACAGCGCTGTAGACGGTTCTTCCACTCCTCTTAGTAGTGATGGAACTCCGATACTGGAGTAGCCTTCGATTAGAGTCGTTTGAATGTTTTCGACTGTCTGAACTTGTACTGAAGGCGGATCAAAAATCTGGTTTCGGTATGGTACTGCTTGCCGATTCTTATTATACTAGACATGACCTCCAAGTACGGTATTATGAGGGCTCTTTATTCCTCGTGCTTCTCCTGATTGTAGTATCGTCTTGGGTATCCGTTGTTTGTTAGATCTTCCTTAATCTCATCGGTCTCCTCTTCTCAACTTGCCTGTGTGCTGCAGATGTCCTTAGCTCTATCAACGAGAGTTCGAATCACCTCTTTCTTCCTGGTCACAGGATGGAGAATGGAAGGCTGTTGTCCACTTCCTCTTCTATCGTAAACTTTATCGATGGTCTTAGGCTGTTGAGGTGTTCAAAAAATTTTCGCAGCTAGTCGCATCTATGGTTCCGGATAATGGTCTCGTCCACATATCGCATCCATAACTCCGGTTTTATTTCTGCGCTTTCCATTGCTATTAACTCGAAGCATTCCATGTACAAGTTAGCCACGACTGGAGGCAATGGTGATCCCATTGGCATCCCTTCTTTCTTGTACGTAAAATTCTTCTTCACTTAATTTACAGACCTCGTATAATCCTTTATGAATTGATGACACTTCCCTGAAAATTGCAAAGTCAACCTACTTGACGTCATATTTTTTTGTTAGGTTACTGAGATCTCATGTTGAAGTTCAGAGCATCGTTTTGAACACAATAGCTTCAATCAGCGCTAAGAACAAAGGGATGTTTGAACCTTACCTGAAAACATTTTTTGTGAGAACTTCCGATCATACAAACATTAAATTGTTGAAGTTGGAGATACTGACGAATCTAACCACGGATGCCAATGTTTCAATCATCCTTATGGAATTGCGAACATATGTTTTCAACAGTGATAAGAATTTTGTTGCTGCCACTATTCAAGCCATTGGAAGATGTGCCTGTTCAATTTCAGAAGTTACAGATTCGTGCCTTAACGGGTTGGTCTCTCTCTTATCTGATGGAGATGGTGAGTAGAGTTTTATCACATACTTATCTATCTGCGGACCAGTAGAATGACTCTGGCTAATATTTGTCAGACAAGTGGATTTTACGCGCATGCAAGGGAACACAGGTTGTAGAACAGAGACCAGCAAAATCACATGAGCTGCCGGACTGTGTTTTCAAGCTGTTAACTGCACGGAACTGTGCATTGCAATAAGCAGTTTCAATTAACAAGAGCATTAAAACAAATTATACGTGTAGGCTGATTTTTTTGATCTAACTAAAACCTTTGATTGTATGAAGTATGAGGTACTACTGTGAAAGCGTCCTTTTTATTCCATGGCTCCATACAGTGTGCAGCTTCTCAAGTCTTACTTATCTGCAGATCTACTGTCACCACATTTTTGCTTGGGGCTCCTCAAGGATCTGTACTTGGACCATTGTTGTTCTTGTTATACATTAATGACATTCAGACTTGCCTCAGTAACAGCATTAGTAGCAAACTATTCTTGTATGACGATAAAACTACTCTTCTTTCAACTCACAGCACCTTAGTAAACCTAGATAATGAATCATCCGCATGCAGGAGGGACATTCAGAACTGGTTTGTTGTTAACGGGCTGACCTTAAATGGAAACAAAACTCATATAGTGACTATTTTGACGCAAATGATGACAATTCAAATACAGTAAAGTATGGGTATGTTGACTCTTCTTTGACAGAAGCTATCCTTTTTTAATACCCCAGTTAAAACGAATGCATAAACACCCATGGAGTACCGTGAGGCTATAGGAGGATACAGGGGAAAATGGGGGACGCCACACGGTCTCTAGTGATGGAACACGTGTGCATGCAGCATGCACACCTTCTGGCCCCGCCTACGAGATCCGCCGGGTGGTACCTCCGCGTACCATAGTCAGAGACCTTCTACCAAAACATCCATAGCCAAGAGAAACATTTCTCTTTAGACGGATATCGAACTCGTGTAGCGCACGGCGAGTGATTAGGAGACCGCAGTGTCTACCACCACGCCACCGTCGCTGCCTGATACATAATCTGAGAAATTCGGTGTCACGGAAAACATTGCTCACCAGTTACCATACATACCTCCACAGTAGGATGACGTACGCCATTCTGGCACAAGGGTCATTATCCACACATGCGAAGAGTTGTTGTCCTTGCAGGAATGACTTCATTAAAATCATTAAATTAGAAAGATGTCAATCCTTATATGACTTAGGGGTAACTTTTGATAGTAGTCTCACATTTGCAGAGCACATAAGAGAAATGGTTGCAAAGTTAAATAAAGTATTGGGATATTGTAGTAGAAATTGGTCGAGCTTTGCAGATGTAAGAAGAACTAAACTAGAGTATGCCTCATTGATCTGGTCGCCATTATATCAAAATGCAAAGTCAGCGATATGATCTATTCAACGCAAGGGCTTAAAATATATGCACTTTAAAGTTTATGGATACAACCCTCAAAGGGGGTTTCCACACAACTCACTACTTGAATTATTCAATTATGGCACTTTAGCGTACCGTCGTCATATTAATGGGGTTACAGTCCTGTACAATTTAATAAATAATAAGTTGGCCTGCCCAGACTTACTGTTTAAAGTTAATTCTGCAATACCTTAAAGAGTTACACGCTACCCTGTATCTCAGATATGACGCCTATAAATCGAATGTGCACTTCTTTTAATAAATTTTGCTAATAACTGTGATGCTCTTGATGTGACTCTGCCCAATCTTGGACATAACTGTGCTGTGGTAGGATGTTGAGATGTACATTGCAATGTGATTTTTATTATATTTTGTGTCAATTTTTTGTATCAACTTTACTACTTTGACCTTTACTTTTATACCAGATATGTCTTTGATATTGCCAAATGAAATAGAATATCTCGATTATAAACAATTTGGCAAAACGGTGTAATGCTTCCTACTATTCGCAGCTTTTTTTGACGTCGAAGACTTCTGCCTGGTATAATCTTTATTGTATTTATTTCTTTTATATTTTTTAACTATCTCTATTTATTGTTCATCTAAATTTTATTTTTTTTTATTTAGTTTTGTTACCTTTTATTGCCACTTTGTGTTTTATGTTTGTTATATTTAGGTAGTGTTTGTTGTTTTACTTACTCTTTTATGTTCTACTCTTATTGACCTGTGGAAACACATCTTTGTGTAATAGCATCAATACATTATTATTAATATTTTTAGTAATTATTACTATTATGTTTCAAGTCAACGTTAAGGTATAATTTTTTTCATTTATAGAAGCTGTAGTTGCGGAAAGTGTAGTGGTCATAAAAAGACTGTTGCAGATGCAAGCTGCCGATCCCAAAGAAATAATCACACATATGGTGAGACTGCTCTGTAGCATAACGGTAGCTCAGGCGAGAGCAGCCATCTTGTGGCTGTTGGGAGAACACTCGCAGAAAGTTCCTAATATTGCGCCCGATGTCCTCAGGAAAATGGCTAAGACTTTTTCAGACGAGGTGACTTGTGTAACTTGGTAAATTTTCAAACATGCTAAATAGACTTTTTGTTTCAGAATGATATTGTTAAACTACAAATAATGAACTTAGCAATTAAATTATACATAACAAATCCGGAGAAAACAGCTCTTTTATGTCAATATATTTTCAGTTTAGCTAGATATGATCAAAACTATGATATAAGAGATAGAGCTAGATTACTTAAACATTTTGTACCTAATCAAGAGGGAAGAATTCGGTCACAAGCGGCTAGAATATTTTTGGCTAGCAAACCAGCACCTTTACTCCAATCACAGTTCAGAGGTAAGTGAAAGATCATATATATATATATATATATATCGTATATAGGCCCGTATGTAAATGTGTAGGGATCACAAAAGTAATGACTGCTGATTAATTCTTCTGAAATTATGATCGCGCAGGTATTTACAGAAAAAGATGATTCCATGAATTTTCTAATTACAGATACCGAGGAGTTGCAGCTAGGTTCTCTTTCACATTATATCAGGCAAAGGGCGAACGGCTATAAACCTTTACCGCCATTCCCTGAAAATCCTCCTCCTGGTGATATTAGAAATGTAGAACCTTTGTATGGAGAAGAAAACTCAAAATCCTACAATGAGGCGGTTAGTATAGCCTGAAATCTGAATAGGCACGCTTCGGTTGAACGGATTGCTTTGCGTGTGACACCAAACTCGAAAACTATTTAGTTAATGCCCAGTCGGCAGATGAATTATCATCTATACAACTTCTCGAACCATTTCGTGTCTTTTGTAAAAGTCAAATAAGAAATGAATTTTGAAAATGTTAGAATTACTTTTGTCTATACTAATTATGGTTATACTCAACATTCTCAAAATATTAATAATGTTGAGTAGCACGAGGGTGGTCTGAAAAGTGTCTGACCTAGCAAAGATACAAGAAATTCTTTCTGATTTTTATTTTATTTTCCAACCTTGTCTCCGTGTTACTCTATACACCCAACCGATGCTCTTATCTCTGTAACCCGTCAAAATAATACTCGGCGTTTTTTCTCTGCAAAATAATTGCTCACAAAGGTGATTGCCTCCTCATATTACGAAAATACTCCGAGCGCAATTTTTAGATGACGGAATAAACAGAAGTTGCCAGGGGCTAGATCTGGTGAGTGAGGCGGATGACCCAAGCAGTTCAAACTGTAATTCGTAGATTTTCGCCATGACAACCGCTGAGGTTTGAGACGGTGCGTTGTCTTGGTGAAACAGAATTTTCGTTTTCTGCAAATATGGCCGTTTTTCCACAAGCTCTGCCTTCAGCTTGTCAAGTAATGATGCGTAGTATGCTCCTGTAATATTTTTTTTTCTTTGAAGCAAATCGATTAAAATGATTGCATAACAACCCCCAAAAACAGTCGCCATCACTTTCCAGCCTAAAAATCAGTTTTTGCTTTTTTTGGAGCCGTTTCCCCATTTGCAGTCCACCGTTTGGACTGTATTTTTGTTTCGGGCGTATAATAGTGTATCCAAGTTTCATCTACAATAATTAATCGACGCCAAAACTCGGATTTATTGCGCCTAAACTGCGCCAACAGAACGTTGGACATCTTCATTCGAACACGTTTTTGGTCTAACGTGAGCAATCGCGGCACCCAATGCGCGGACAGCTTTCTTATGCCTATATGTTGATTTAATATGTGACAAACACGTTGTTTTGACATGTCATAACCTCTGCTATCTCTCTTACTTTCATTTGGCGGTCGTCTAGCACGTAGCTAACATTCATGGTCTCCCAAGCTTTTACGGCCGCGTTTAAATTCAGCTGCCCAAAATGTCACTGTGGTAAATGATGGTGTCCCCATACACAGAATCCAACTCATCTTTGATTTGCGTAGGCGTATTGATTTTGTCAATTTTCACAAACGACTGTTACATAACAACTGAGCGTCTAAAACGGCTGAAACTTTGGTGAGTAACTGTCAACAGATGAACAACGAAATTCACTAGCTTTTATTTACGAGTGCTGCCATCGTCACGTTGAGGTCGGAAACTATGCAGACTACCCTCGTATATATTATTGTTGAAAGAAATATTTGTCTTCTCACGCTGCCACATTCTATACAACAGATCATAGTGCATATAAAGTAACAGAACTTATACAGGGTGACTTTGAAGTTGAGTCATTAATTTTCAGATAATGATTGTAGAAGGAAGATAAAGCAAAATATGTGTGTAAAAATAAAAAAAAATTAAAAACAAAATGTTACCTTGTTTTATAAAGTATCCTCCCGACAAGTATTTCAGTGCGGACCTGTATTTGATCGTGCGGTCTTGGAGCACCGGCATGCTCTCCCCTGTGAGGTCTTAAGTCACCTGATTCACGAGCCCTTTGTACTACATTAACAAAGGCACGAGGGGTTGGTTGCACTCGATTGGGAAACCGATCCACATAAATCCGTGATGCCGCGGCAGTAAATAAGAATCATGTCCACAAGTTCAGCATTTTCGTAAACATGTGCCATTTTTTATCTCGTTTGAGCCACGCAACAAACACCACTATTCACTCACGCGTTACCGACTGACACATTGACGGAATACAACTGAATAAAATTGTAGTAAAAACATCGTGATAAGCGTTTCAAATTATCTCGCTTTTTTGTTTCCGGTGCGATGAACCGAGCACATAATATTATTATTGACACAGGGCGGTACTCAAACTTCTAAAGGGCTATAACTTTGTTACTTTTTACATTTCTTTTGATCAGATCTACTCACTGTTAAAATAAATGACTCAACTTCGAAGTCACCCTTTATATTATATGTACAGGATGTACCAACAGTACGAGGACGGAGTATTGCTCCTAAACAAAAAGTATTCATAGGTAACTTTGAACTATTATATGGGTTGAGTGGAAGAACAGCCAGCGCTAATCTTCGCCCATTTGTAATATAAATAAAGATGTTTATTATTATTATATGTTATTTGGAGGCATACTTCTAAAATATTCATTTTTATACAGGGTGTACTAGTAGGACAAATAGTTTGAATCGTACTTATGTTTAGTCATATGCGTCATTTTTAGACATCTGATTAATTTTGTATTATAATATCAATCAGCAATAATGAATTACAACACAATAGTATTGAATTACTTGGTTTTCTGATTTTATAGACATATTTTCAATAATCCTTTACTTGTATTTTGCTTTCCTGGATGATGTAACTTGTTTGAATAGAGAAATATATCCATTTTATTAACAAATAGTTATAACGCAGAAACCGTAGAACAAATTGGTAACAACTTTATATTTAAAAAAAGCTCACGAAAATGGTAATACGATAGTGCAAACTTATACACGATATTCATTTTTTTTTGCGAAAAAGTACATTTCGTATTTTTGACCACCAGGTAAATCAAAATGATTTACCAAGTTTATTGGAAGACGTGCCACTAAGCATTTACAGAGACATGTGATACCAGCAAGACGGCTGCCCGACGCACTATGCCCGTTCATTTAGAAAATATCTTGATGCGGAATACCCAAACCGATGGTTAGGGCGGTCTAATACAATTTTGTGACCAGCCCGTTCACCTGACTTAAATCCGCTCGATTTTTTTTACTGGGGAGCGATGAAAAAAAAAGTACTCCGATCTGTATCTGACGTCGACTTCTGTATAATAATCCATAAATATTTTCTTTGAAAACTTTTTGTTTAAGAGCAATTCTCTGCCCTCGTACGGTTGGGATACCCTGTTTATCATACGTGACTAACCTTAATTTGTTTTTGTGCATAGAACAAAAAAGGTAAAGAATTATTCAGTTGGGAGTCTGATGCCAGTTCAAATGGAAATAGTAACCCGAGCAGTTCTGGTAGTGAATCTTCCTCTGGTAGCACCGATTCTGAAGAGGATTCGGCTGAAGAAGAGTCTGGTGAAGAAGAATCTGAAAAGTAAGTTGATTTCAACGAGTAATATAGATTCACGTCTACTTTAAAATAGAGATGCTTAAAACCAACTTGTGTCATTTCAGCCAAAAATCATCATCGTCCGAAGATTCAGTATCTATGAGTGAAGAATCAAGTTTGGAAGAACAGCATGTTCCAAAAACAAATTCTAAACACGATCACGTGAACAACGTAAAAGAGAAAAAATCAAATCTAGATCTCCTCCTAGATTTGGACTTGAGAAGCCCTGCTCCTGTGCTGACACCTTCTTTGGGTGGTTTTTTCACTCCATCTGGTGGTGGTGACAAATCATATGATATACAGGTCTGCCTAAAGCACCGACTACTAAAAAATATTTATTCATTAAATAAAAAATAGTGCGTTGCGCACATGTCGTTGGGCCAGGGGGGGAGGGGGTTGTAAATGGCAGCAACTTTGGGGGGGGGGGGGGACAGACAGGGAGTCAAAACCGACAGTGTGACCATTTCATTTTTTAATACTGTTCAGAAAAAGGACCCGGTCGGCAATTTTTTGAAGAGGACCCATTTGTTCAGTACAGCGAAAAAATTGAGGTTTTCGAGTTCGTTCAAATTGGGCCTGTTTGTACATCTAGTAGGTGTGAAAGAGAAAACACATTTTTTTCGTGTCATGTTCATTCGCCAAATTACGGGCTTCGAAAGAGGAAATTGGTATTTTTTCGAAGAATTGTTTCAAATCAAAAAGTACTATATTGGGATGGGAAACAGCAATTTTTTTTATAGAAAATTTCATGTACTTTTTGGTGAAAAAACCATATTTGGAATTAAAAAAAACTGAAGATGCTAAACCGGGAGTAAACATTTCAAACCAAAATTTTGGCAACTTCGCATTTTTTTATATTCGAATGTTTACTCCAAAATAAAGCATAAAGTTTGTTTAAAATACATGAGGCATTTGGAAATTGTATGCGCAATGATTAAAGAAGTACGTATTTTTATGTACACACTCTGGGTATAACGTCAGGTGGACTGGTTTTGGAAATATTGCATTAATCGGCTCGAATATGCAAAATTCTTACATGATGGATGTCTTCTTTCGAGCAGCAGAAAATTGTTGTTTGTTTCAAACAACCTGAAGCTGGTACTCGTTGCATGGCGAAGTTGTCCAAATTTTGGTTTGAAATGTTTACTTCCAGTTCAGCGCATTACTTTTTTTTTTAATTTCAAATGTGTTTTTTTATCAAAGAGTACAGAAAATTTGCTATGTAAAACGCTGTTTTATATTCCAATATATTAGTTTTCAAACCAAAAAAATTCTTGGTCAGAAATACCAATTACAACATCATATTTTCTCTTTCATAAGTACTAGATGTTCAAATTTTATTAATGGTTTGTTATGTACAGGTTGTACAGCCGACGTTCACCCACACGAAACCCATAGAACTGTTGAATCGAATCAGCGGCAGGGGAATGTCAGTTACATATAGATTTACTAGAAGTCCACATTTGTACTCACCGAGCATGACGAATATTAATTTGTCCTTCACGAATCATACTGAAGAAGAGATCACTGACATAAGACTGGGGAAAAAGGTTGGTATTCCAGAAAATAGACAGCCGCAACCTATAAGCAGTTATTTGCAGTCATTCTAATATCAATTGAAACACAACAAAAAATGTGTGAAATCCTATATCCCAGAAGTCGACATCAGTTACGAAACGGACGATAGGCCAAGTCATAATAGTTATCATAGAAATATAAAAAAAAACTAGGATTGGTCTTTTCTCTCTGGACGAACCATGCTGATGAGTAGCCAAAAAGTTCGAAACAGCTATCCGTGGTTAGCTCTCGTTTTGGTCGGACGGACGAAAGCATCATGTTTACTTTTTTCAATGACAACTAGACCACATCTACTTCATATCCAGAATCGTCAGCCATCTAGCGGTTACGTGGTGACTGAGCTATTAAACGCTAGCCGAGATCCCTAACAGTTCGGCTATGGCCGATTCTGGTGTGATACATGACGCTTTGCGTTGTCTTATTTCACTGCACATTGGCCGGGGTTGACCAATGTTGACGCTGAATGATAGCATATCATGCCAACGTTGGCTCCAATGTGTAAATGCACGCTAAAAATACTATACCGTCTATTATTCTACTCGACTAGTAAGAAATGTTAATTTTTTATGTTGAGATATTTCCTTCTTTTCCAGAATTTGATGACTGGTATGAGTCTCCATGACTTTGCATATATATTAACACTACCTCCAAACTGCTCCTTGCCGGCCACTCTTGGGGTTGATTTTAATGACAGTACTCAACCTGCCAACTTTGAGATCGTGTCTTCTTTAGGTAAATACTATTTTTTGTCATTCAGTCCACTAAAATGTTCCTGTTTAAATAAATCCCTACTGGTATTATAAAAGTAAAAGTGTGTATGTATGTTCCGTTTTCACGCCGACACGGCTGAACCGATTTTGATGAATTTTACTATATATATACAGGGTGTCCGCAAAGTTGGGGTTTTCCTTTTCAGAAACAACTACCCTTGAAATAACAAAGGTAATGTGTAGTGAAACGAGGGCGACCACGTAAAAAAAATAAAGGAAAAGTACTCACTCTCCAGTTGACGAGAAGGGCTAAGTACGTCTCTGCCCGAAATCATACCGCTCCAACAGGAAATGAAATCAGCTGATGCGCTACCGAGCAGACGCAGGCAAACAAGGAAGGCAAAATGTTGCGTAAAAAGTCTAGATATTGCATCCCGTCCAATCGATTTGGGAGAATAAATGGTCCAATGAGCATACCGTTCACCATGCCAGCCCAAACATTCACCGAAAATGTTTGTTGAAAATGTGCCCGACGGACAGCGTGCGGATTTTCTACTGACCAAACATGAGTGTTGCGAAAGTTATTCACCCCATTACGCGTGAACGTAGATTCGTCTGTCACCAATATGCACTTCAAAAAGTCCGGATGATTGTCATGTTGATGCAACCACCACTCACAAAACCGCACTCTTGCTGGAAAATCGTCAGGTTGAAGGGCTTGTACACGTTGGACGTGAAACGGATACAGCCCCTCTTCACGCAGCGTTTGCCACACTTTAGTTTTTGATACTTGCACTTCTCTAGCCACGTCTCTAGTGCTTGTTGTTTTTTGAAACGCAATCGATTATACGAGTTCGTTTATCTCTACACGCATGACCGTAACCGTCGGTTGAAGGTTGGATACTGACCTGACACACTGACCCCGACCCAGTTCTGTCGTCGGGCTGAGCTAGTGTACTAGTACCATTGGGGGATGCGCGGCTACAGGACGGTATTCAGATATTTTTGATGTTGCAGAGCCCTTTATCTCGGTTCCCTTAAGACATTAGTGTATATGGTACTAAGAAAAATTGCTTATGTTTTCAAGATCTACACGTCGTGTAAAGGAAAACCCCAACTTTGCGGACACCCTGTATATACAGTAGCGAACAAACGTTTTTTTATTCTTTATTATTAAGCACTATTTTTTTCTCATATAGTTTGCTTACAGTCTTGAGGATACAAATGGCAATTTGAGTTTGGTGTGGTACTACAGACTAGCATTTAAATACCTTCATATTATTTTAAAAGCATTCAACACTGCCTGACATGTGCTGCTCATAGAAGAGACCAATTTCTTACAGACTTCTGTTGGGATGTTGTGCCAAATAATTTTTACATAATCAAATAAATCGTACCTTATTTTAAAAGTTTTTCTTGTCAGGTGTTTTTTAACATGACCCAAAGATGTTCTATAGGGTTTAGGTCCGGGGATTGCGAATGCCATGTAAGAACATTAACATTTTTTAGTCTTAACCAGTCCTTTACGAATTTTGAGGTATGCTTGGGGTCATTATCTTGCTGGAAAGTCCATCGTAAAGGAATTTCTTCTTCAGCAAAAGGGATCATGTGCTTACTAAGAATATCTTTGTAATGTTTTTGATCCATTTTCGCAACAATTTTAACAATTTGATCTGTTCCAGAACTATAAAAACAGCCCCAAACTATGATGTTGCCTCCACTGTGTTTAACTGTCATCAACTGATACTTTTTTCGAATCTTTTTCGTATTGGACGTGTCACATATGCCGTACCGTCAGATCCAAACAAGTTGCTTTCATCGCTCCATAAAACTGTATTCCATTGTTGTTCTGTCCAAGTTAGATGAGTTTTAGCAAATTCAAGCCGAGCAATACGATTTTTGTTGAATGAGAGGCTTTTGCACTGGACACCTACCAAAAAGCCCAAAATCCCCCAAGCGTCTCTGCACTGTTCTGTTCATTCGAGGATCTTCATGGGAAAAACGTTCAATGTAGCGATCCAAAACATACTCGGTTTTTTCGGTCTTTCGCACCTGGGCCGCATTGCTGTTGATCCGTATTCTTGATATTCACTAATAATTTTCGAAATGGTCCCTTTGTTCGTTTTTAATTTTTGAGAAATGACAACATTTTTGACACCACTTCTAAATAATTCTTTGTCTCTTAAATGTTTTTAAAATTGTCTCACTGTTGCTATTCTCACTGATGTTAATACAGGGTGCGGCAGAGAGGACGGACGTTTTTGGGATGGGTAGTACTCTCCGCCTCCGTCTACGAGAGAGGTGGGGAGGGTGCCGTTTGACTCATGAGATCCAAGCATTATTTTACCAGTTGTCGTTATGGAGCCTTGGACGGTGGAGCACCGCGTTTTCGCCTATGATTGTTTCGTCCGAAATAATGAGTCGGTCATCGTCGTACAGCGTGAGTTTCGTCGCCACTTCAACATTCATCGGAATAGAGCTGTTCCCTCTCGAAACACCATGCTTCGTTGGGTTGAATCACTTCGCAGGCGTGGTGAACTGATCAACAGAAGACTAAGAGGAGCGCCGCGAACAGTTCGAACTCCTGAAAATGTTGAACGCGTTCGACAGGTCTTTCTTCGCAGTCCGACTCGATCAGCCCGGAAACATGCTGCTGCACTTGGCCTTAGTGATCGTTCGATAAGGCGAATTTTGCATATGGATCTCCGCGAAATTCGCGTGGAAGTCGCCCAAGTTGAGAGAGCGATGTTGGAGAGAGTCTACGCGAACTTCCAAGAACGCCTCCAGCACTGCATCTATTTCGGCCACCACATGCCTGATGTGATTTTCCACATTTGACTGTCTCAAATGATATTTCCTTGTGAACCTGATTCCATCAATAAATTTGTTTCCGAGTAAAAATTAACTATTTTATGATTTTTTTAAAATCGTCCATCCTCTCTGCCGCACCCTGTATTTACCGCGCGCAATATCAGAGTATCGCAGAACGAATAAATACGGCAAAACTGAAATGTTTCCATACTTTTGTCGTTACAAAATATGTGGTATTTAAAAAAAACGCGTGGTTTTATTTCGGGAGAATTTGAATATTGATAAGATAAACCTTGTATTAGTACGGGAGCCAAAGGTAGACTTTAATATTTATATTATCTGTTCCTTCACAATTTTAATTTAGGTATATGAAATAGTTCATAATAATGTTAATATTTGTTTTCAAACTTTTGTCCGCTACTGTATGTGTATTCTACCTTTTGTTGTGAGAATTAGACTCCAAGGGGTTGTAATAAAGGGTAAGAGCTACTATGGGGAAATATTATTTTTAAAGCTAGATATGCAGGTATAGATCTCATATACTTGGTTCTTTGAGTGTAAATGAGTACTTACAAAGAAATTTGGTAAATTCCATCCCTAAGGGGGTAAAGTAGGAACTCACACTTTTCAGGTTTTTGTAGAGAATTTAGGATATTTCAAATGAATCCAGCGTAACAGTAGCAGTTTGTTTTGTCTTCAGTTTTATCTCTATGTAATTATTATTAACAAAGAGTTTCAGGAATCATATCATCAATATGGGGTAGGAGGAGGTTGAATATTTCTATGGAGGACAGGACGTGTCAGTTGAGAACTGATTAAGCTTCAGATTTTACATACCTGAAACTGAGCTATGAACATTACATTTGGTAGAGACGTAGTTCAGGGAGAGGGAATTTCAACATTTAGTTACATTTAAAATGCTAGTTTCAAAAAAATCTCAAGGGTTCTGGATGAAAAACTCTCAAAATTCCCTTGAATTGTTGTTAATATTCGCACTTTTAATATTGTTGTTCTCGAAAATAGTATTCTAAACACAGATCAAATAACTTTGTTTACTATAAGATTTGTAAAAATTGACTGTTGAATAAAGATTCAATTTTTTAATGTCAGCTTTCCGGTCCGAGTTTTTACCCCCGCAGCTTATAGACGCGATATAAAATAATCAAATTTGACTGTCAATTTCTTAATGCAATGCAAAAATACTGTTATATGTTGGTAACAGTTTAATGCCTACGAAGTCGCTAGTAAGTGATATACCAGTGGCCTATGCCTATTTTCAGGTGTTTTCAACGTATTCATAAAGCCAACAGTAGGAGAGTTGGTTCGACCAATAAAAATGCCGAAAGCATTATTTCTGGAAAAGCAGTCAAGGCTGAAAGGTATGCATGAACATTCTGTGGTGTTGCCTCAATGTGTTGACAACATCGTTCAAAGAGTTGCTGAGACGACAAATCTGGGCCCTTGCGATGATTCCGATCCTGATGTTTATAGGTATTTATTCTATACCAGTTTTGTAAAAAAATATTCATATGATCTCCACATGCTAGTATGATATCCATGGCGTTCACAATGAGATTTTTTATTTTAAACCACATTAATAATAATAATAATGAGGTCTTTATTAGGGCGGAGTTTGGCTATTCTTCCACTTAACCCTTTTAAAACAGTAAAATTTACAGTTTTCCTGTACAATGTGTCTGGTGGTAACTTTCATTGTAACAATTAAAATAAAAGGCAAGTAATGGCAAGCACACAGTTAAGACTTTTTAAAAGGCAGTTGTTTTTCGCACAAACTGGATAAAACGAGGAATATTCATAATATACTCAGTGATAATAGAAGTGTTACATCCAGAAAAAATAATTTCACAGCTTGATTTTTTGGCAATGAGACGGTCTTATATCAAGAATGAAACGATAACATTCTCACGATATTTTATTGACAAGTAATAAGAAAAAAATTAATGTGTTGAGCGACCCCTCAGCCGACTACACTCCTGTATACGTCTAGGCATCGACAAAATGAAATGATCGATGCCTGGTTGTGGCACCTCATATCAAGCAACTCGAACTTCGTGGATTAACATGTGACAGAGTCTGTGGTGGATGGTGCAGAGTGGATATTATCCTTCCATCATATCCCGCACATGTTCGATGGGATTTAAATCCGCTGAACGGCAATACATTAATGCCTGCTTCTTGAAGAAAGTCCGAAGTACGACGATCAATATGGGAACGTGCGTTGTTTTGCTGGAAAAGGACATGAGGGCGACCCTCTAGATACGGCAGTAAAGCGATTTGTAGGACATCGTCAGCAGCACCAGCAGTCATATTGCCTTGAACAACGAGAAGAGGTGATCCGCCACCATAGGCAATAGCCCCCCAAATCATTAATCCAACAGTCCTCTGTACAGGCCTCTCAACAGCAAATCCAATATCTTGCCGTTCTCCACGGCGGCGTCTTACCCTGCTACGATCATTGTGCGTACCTAGACAGAATCGCGATTCGTCGCTGAATATGACATTATGCCATTCTGCCTCTCAATGTTGCCATTCTCAGCTCCAGTTTAAACGTTGACGACAGTAGTCCGCAGTCAGAGGAAGCACCAACCGTCGACCTTGTGAAAGAAGTCCAAATGCTCGAATGCGGCGATAGAGTGTACGCATAGTAACAGGCACAAAACACATAAGACTGAAGAAGTGGGAGCTGCACGTTAAACAACGGCAACACCGTTGAAGTTTTTTCAGATGGTTGCGCCGCCTACTTGCCTTGAGATCTGGAGGAACTATCGAAGGAATTCAAAGAATGCGCCGGGAGATTAGGAATGTGCCGAGGATTTAGTCTGTTTACAATTTAAAATCTGCTGAAAGTGATATTTCCCATATTGAAGAAATATTTTATGAGTATAGACGCATAAAATATCCTCAATAAAGGAAATACATGATTCAGCAGTTTTGCTGGTAACCAATTTTGGGATAATAAAAAATAAATGCGTAATTGATAGAATATTTATTAAATAGTTAAATATATGGATAATAATAAGTAATAATTTATCATCACAGTTCATTGACAATATACACCTTGGGAAAAACCATTATTATACATTATGATGAGGAAGAGAGATGGAAATATACAAAAGTATGTAGGTGCGTGAAAGACACTCGATTGTAGGATCCTATCGGCAGCGTCGCAGTGTGACGGACAACGGGGTAAAGTAGAAGAGTGATAAAAGAGAGAGATGGCAGAACGGGCGCTGGCGCCTACCGCTTAGACGGATGCGCTCAACAAATGCGATTTGTTTCTCCCATTCGCAGAGTTGCCGATACCAATATGTCATATTTCTAAGAAATCTAAGTCTACCCAAATTTCGGGAAAAATAGCTGCGGATTCCACATAAGAGTATTCCAAAAATGGAAAAAGTTCAAACTATTAAAATTGTATTAATGTTTCATGGTTCAAATCATATTTTTCATGTTTGTATATTGTTGTATAAATGATTTTGTAATCCCTATTCTTGTTGCCAGTAGAGATACAACAGTATTGAGAGAAATCCGCTAGATAGGGCTACAACTACCATATGACTATCAAATAGTAGTGATAAACAGGGTTTGTTTATAGCACAGTTGCCTGGTGTGGCGAATTTGCGCCATAGGGGCGATTTGACAACTTTGAAGGACAACTATAACGGTTACTATGGTGCCCGGTATTCGGGAATCTGGCAATACCTGATGATTCCTAACGTTTATTACGCCAGATTGTTTGCTGACTTGCGCAGTACAACATGACAATCAACGTGACTGAGCACCTGGTAACCCTGGTTTAAGGTGTTATATTTAAAGAGCTTGGGGCAGTTAGGCATCAGGCACATTTTTTAATGTATTTCGAGAAATCCGTAATGTTGAGTAAATACTAGATCACGTTTCTTGCTTAGTTTGCTGAAAATTCTACAATAGACGTACATTTTGAGAAACAGAGATTTGGTGACGACAAAATCGTAAAAATATAACGCATTTTCGTAAAATAATTTCTTTGTTGAAAAGACTGTGGCTTGATGACCCATTGAACGAGTATAGTGTCCCGCTCCGCTTTGAATATTCGAAACACTATACTCCAGCAGCATTCAGCTTCAATGTTATCTTTATGAAGTTCTAACGTCTAGGCCATGCTGATTAAAAGCTTGAATGAATCAACACTTAACTCTAAATTCCCCACAATTCGGGAAGCTCTACTCAAATTGGCAACACAGCGTATCTGCCTATTATTCTCATTCGTGATACAGGTCTGCGGTTAACGGTAGGAAATATGTATGAATAGCGATGAAAGTAGACGATCCGATGCTCTGTTGCTAAGAAATGATTTCCCATGCATAACAATGGTTTTTCCTAAGGTGTATAAAGGTATTTTTAGACATCCGGAGCTTTCTCTATATTATTAAGTGAATAGGTGATGTTTCAAAAAAAATACAAATCATACATTAGTAGCATAAAAAACGATAAAAAGGTGTTAAGCAAGCACTACCTATTGTTAATTCATAATGAGATATATTTATCACTGAAACGTAAACATTCATACTAAAATAACAAAAAATAAATCTCTGTAGTTAAATAAATAACTGAAATAAAAATATAATATGATAAAAATTTTCTTCAAAGAAGGAATCAAAGTTAAAAATAAACAAGACATTCCTCATACTTAAAACCAAAAGCTCCTGATGGCTTTAACATTTCAGGGAGTAACAAAATAAATAATTATTCTTCGTCCAACTGCTCCCTCCCAAGGATGCTGCAACTATGAAACAAAAAAATATTTTTTAGGTATAATATCAAAGTAGTATTTGGTTACTGAAATTAAACAGAAAATTCAATGAATGAAGAGTGCTGGACTACATAAAAAAGCATTACCTGACTTTAGCTGTCTTGAATTTCTTATTTGTTGATATATGACTATTGGTAGTCTCACCACTTTTCAAAGAATTTCTCTTTACATATTTATAAATTCCCAACCGAGCAGTTTTTTCAATTACACCTTTTGCCACATCATGCTGCTGACAAAAGCTGTAATTTTGAAGGATGCAGGAATACTTTCATTTAAATTTAACTTCCAGTTGGTCTTCTGTACCATGCTGCTCAAAAAATGCATACAGCTTTTCATCCAGTAGACCAATCAGGCTAATTAAATCTTCACTTGCATACTTCAATCGCTTTTCCTCATTATGTTCTTTAAACGTCACAAACAGATGTTTTTCAGTGACAACCAAAGAAAATAACCTTGCACAGGATTAACAATTACTATCAATTTTGAGTCTGTCCAAGATGTACCCAGCCACATAACCATTTGAAGGATTCCATTCAACAAAACAGTCCATTATTTCCAGAGTCAGAGTTACTTAGAATCTCAGGGTCTAAATCAAGCGCTCTATCATTACTTTGGTCATGTTTATCCAAAAAGTCACTGAAATCGACCAAAGTATCACAAAAATCAATTTCACAATTACCTTTAGAAACAGGTGTGCTGAAATTATTAATAACAACTATTTTTGAGGCAGCAACAACTGATGACAGGTGGGATTTGTATTGAAGATACCATGCTGTCTTTCTTGACCAAATAAATTTTCCAGGGAATCTTGATTTAAATTTCTCAAAGATATTTCAAGCCCTTCTCCTTAAGATCTCTCCATAGTGACATAACAGATCTAATTGTTATTTGCCAGCCTTCAACAAATTTGAAATAGTTTGATTTGTCAACCCTAGCGACAATGAAATTGATTTTAATTTGGAAAGCGTTGAGCAAACATTCCGGTTTAATTTATACATAATTGATTCCTTAGGGCTCAATTCCTTCTTTGATGTACCAGTATTTGTTAATATGCCAGAACCCTTCTCTAGCAAAAAAGAATTTTTATCTAAATAATTAGATTCTGCTCAAGAACCACTTCCACTGATTTCAATGTTTTGATCTTCCAGACTAACACTGGAATTTTCATTTTGCTCAGAAGGGGTTGGATTTGTGGTAGCCTCTGCAGGAGGGTCATTGAACAAAACTCTAGATACTGAACTAGGACCTGGTTTAGTAGGATGACTATTTTTTGAAATTAGAACTGTATTGTGGGACACTGGTATGATAAGATATCTGAGACGTGAAGGTCCTTGCGGATTATTACGATCAAACATTGACAAATGATCCTCACAAACATAATAATTGGAAACTTTACGAGTTTGAGATATCTTACAAGCTGCCTTCCATGCAGCAACAAATTTTTCATCTTTTGGAAAACGATGGAATACTTTATTTTTGTATATACAAGCAGATTTCCGAACAATGTGGAAACAGGAACTTTTGCAAGAAGGATATTTGCATGAGTACCTTAAAGTAGAGATGTACGAAGACGCAACTCCAAATCCAGACATGACTGATTTACAAAAGAAAAACAAGCTTATCGAAATATGCAATCTTAAGTATTCCTGCACACAATCACAAGTGTTTTACATTGAAAAATATATGACAAAGGTTATTATTACTATTATTATATGAAGATTATGAACGATAATTTCTCGATTGGGAATTAAATCGGTAATTAAAATTTTAATGTATAGCTTACCCGATTCAAAACAGATTGAAAACAAAAATCAAACTTTGTTCGTAACAAAGTGTCCTAGATTTTGCCTGGAGATTTATGTGTTTTGTGCCTGGAGAGAATGACCTTGGTGTTGCCTGTTCGCCCATAAGACGTTTCACACCCCTGGTAACAGGTCTTATTTCTTCTCCAAACCATTGGTCAGCGATCTGACGCTTAGTAGCAAAACGGTCTCGTATGGCTAGTTGTCTGAAGCGCCTGTCTCGATGCTCTGTAGTATGCCTCGGCGGGCCAGTTGGCCTTCTTCGTGTTGCTCTACCTTTTTCTGTCCACACACGACAGACGCATTACCGTCATTGCAGTACAATTAATACGGCGGCCAATTTCGCGGTAGGACAAACCAACATCTCGATAGGCAATAATTCTACCCCTGTCGAAGTCGCTAACATGGTAATAATTTGGACGTTTTCGAAATCGAGGTATTTTGTTATGCTTACCACTAGTAAATGGAAGGCCAATAACAAAAAATATATGTTCTACTTAGCTCTCAGGAACTGCTTTCTTCACGAAGACTAAGAGATAAAATTTTAACAGAGGTAAACAAAAACAAAGATAAAACGTTGACATTGTTGCCACAGCATGCTTTATTTTGTCAAAAAAACAAGTTGAAGAAATTAATTTTTCTGGGTGTAAAACTTCTAATGTCACTGAGTATATAAGACTCTGATATAAAATACATACATAAATGAGCCACTAACAGGAGAAAATATAGATGTAAACAATAAGAATGCGCCACAAAAGAGTATTAATTTATGCCAGCATTTTCATGGCTCAGTATACATCTTACCTTATAGTTTAAATTTATTAATTGACAGTGACTATCCATGAGAGAGTTATACAACTTAACGGTATTGTATGTGAAAATATTTCCAAAGAAAGCAGTCTTGTGGTACGGCATGTTATTATATGTTATATTTCGGGAATGTATATACCTGCGCGCAATCAGTTTCTCGCTCAAAAATAAGGGACCCAGTTCTATATAAAAGTTTGTGAGTATAGGTGAGCATGTTCAAAGCATATAATTGTCTCATTTTCAGTCATCCTAATTCTGAGAAAGCAGCACTGAGATGGTCTGACTTTCTGAGATTCTGAGTCAATTTACAGCAGGTCTTTTGGATTTTTTTTAGCTTCTTTACGTTTTCACAGTCCAAGAAAGGAAAATATACTAAAAGGCAGTATGTGAGCTGAGATATCACCAAAGACACAATATTCCCTTGACGTCAAAATCAAGTAGCTGTTTACTTGTATACAACAATCTGAGAATTGCATAGCAACTTTTGCTTAGATTATTTACATGGTGAATGAGTTTCAGGGTCTCATCAAAAATTACTAAATTTCTTTCTGATTCCAATTAATTGGTATTTATTTCAAATTTTCTTTCAATTTATGCGTTATTTTTTAGATACACCAGAATTTATAGGGCTTTCACAGTTTTCTGAACGTCCACCCTTTGACATTGATTGAACCTTTTGACTGTGTTTTAATAACTACATAATTGGAAATAAAGTATATTTTCCTAACTATAATTTAGAATTGAAGGAAAAATCTTTGTATATTAACACGCTTATCAAAATTAAAATCGAAACTGGCTGCATACATCATGCATCCATTGTAAACCACCATTCTAGATTGACAGCTATGCTGTCCATGATTTCTCAAACTACTCGTGAAATTGTGGAAAAATTAGCAACCTGTAATGAGCGATTTTTTTCTTTTTTTTTGTTTACTCACAAAATATTCTTTAAATGCAGGTTTGCTGGACATACCATGGCGTCTTCGAATTTGACACTGGTGACAGTTTTCAAGAGTGAGAAGATCACGCTGACTGTGAACTGTGAGAATGTTATTTTTGTTTCTGTTATGCTCAATGAACTGATAAGTAATTTGAGTTCATAGAATCAGTTTATTCATTTTGTTAGCAGAAATATCCGTTTCTTCTTGGTTTTTGGCTGTCTTCATGTTGAAAAATATTCGCTTGTATTTTTCCTATTATCATTACATAACGTGTCGTACTTTATATACATATATTAATAAAGCAATTAATTATTGTTATAATTGGCATTTTATCTTTCCACAACGCCTTTTATTTAATTGTTCAATCATAGAAAAAAGTTTCTTTAGAGGAATAAAAGACGGTGTCAAGTAAGTTGACTTTGTACTTCCCACGAAACTCTGTCATCACTTCGTAAAGAATTCTGGGAGCAAAGATCAATATACTCAATTTTTGAGGATTGGGTTGTAGATTATATCGTCTAGTGTAGGTATCTATGGATTTTAAATCTTCATAGAGCTCCTTTTTGGAAGCAACGCTTCACAGATCTATCTAGGTCGGAAACACAAGAGAAACAGGAGTGGCTCAAGTATAGACCCCTGAGGTAGGTACACCCCTGCTTACGTTCACCTGGCACTGATTGAACAGCCACCGAGTGCGAGTTAGTAAATAATTGGACATCATTTTGAATACACTTACACAAATCCCATAAAAAGGGCTGTTAACAACAGGGAATGGTTGATCAAATTGAAAGCTCTAACGGTATTTGACCGCTTCTAAAACAAGATTCTTTTAAAGGTAAAATGTCATTTTCAATCGAATGTTTTATTAGCTGCCTATACATTATTTTTGCAAAAATGTTGATGGTAGGGATAGAATGTTGATTGGATGCAAATTACTGATTAACTGCGGGTCGCTATTTTTAGCTAAAGGAGGAAAAATGGACTGTATCCAGGTTTTAGGTAAATTGCCCTTTTTCAAGCAGCAGTAATTGACAATATGTGCGATATAAATGTAGATTTTCGGAAAACACAACTTGGTCATTTTGAGGTTCAATCCATCATTCTCCAGGACATTGGATTTAATAGATCTAAAAGTTGGTATCATGTCTTTATGATCCACAAGTTTGAACAGAAAGAAAAGGTTCTGCTTTCCATATTCTTTGTAACTAATAGACCTCTATAGAGGCGTTTTTTATATGATCCTAGTAACGCAGACTAAAAAAATAGTTTCCGAAGAAATGTAGTATGGCTTGAAAATGGAAAATACTGCTAATTTTTCTTTTGTAGATATAGCCTTTCTCTAGTTGGTGACTTGTTTCTCTATTTCCTTTTTTATATAATCCTGAAATTCATTAGAACTACTTAATGACATTCAGAAGTAAATAAAAAATCGTTCATCATCTTCAAGCAATACAGGAAAAAGCACACCGAACTCTCCTTTTTCATCTCTCTCACAATTAATCGGATGCGCCCAGTATCTTTCTTTCTTATTAGACTCTTGGAAACTCCACAAAAGCAATGCTTCGTCTTCTGAAGACGGACTATCGAAATACATGTTTCACCTACGAGTAATCTTCGTAAAATGGAACACAGTGTTCGTGACTGTCTATTGTTTTTGTTGTAAATATTTTTTTAGCTCAAGCTGAAGCAAAACAAGTTTTTTATCCTTTAGACTTTAGATGATCTAGACTCTAGAGTATCTGTTTTTTGTCTGTGTGATGTGTAGAGCCTTCTGAAATGCAGAGTGGTTCTTTTGGATGTTCAAAAAACTCAAATAAGGAGCTTTTCCTATCTTCACATAAATGGCACCTTTTTGCCATGGAATACATTAAGCTCCAGTTGAAATAAGTCGTTGAATGACGGAAGGTAAGAAATTTTTGAGGATGACGTATTATATTAAGCATCAGCATGGTGGTCAGTCATTGGATAGATATTTAATATCCCACTGTTCAAGAGCCTTTCAGGTTGATTTATGAATATGTACTGAATCGAGCAAGGTACTGCTACTCCCTGTTCCCCTTGTGGGCTTAGAAATGATCTGCTGAAATCCAAACGCATCGAAGCATTCACTGATATTATTGATAATAAATTTCAGCAAAACTAACTTTATCCCTTTCTGCTCGTACACTATCATCTTACCCGATTTTACAAACAGGAGATGTAAATTCTTAATCCCGATCATAATGGACCAATGAGAAGGCATCTTTCTAGTAATGGAGCTAATGAATATAGTCAATTTTTTGTGAAATATCTCTCAAACGTGTGAAGAAATATACGATTTGTGTAAGAAGAGCCCCCAATCCCCATATTAAATCAAGATATTCTTTATAAATCACCCGGTTTAGCTTCAAAAAGATATTTTTTCACTTGATCCGGAGATCAAAACCTATAACTCGGATCAATAATGACCAATTAGGAAGGATTTTCGTAAAACTTCATAGAAAATTGTCCAGTCGGAGCCTTTAAACCCTGCCCGAATCGTGGATCAAATCTCCAACCAGCACTGGCCGATACGACCGCTCCATTGTCGCTGGAGTATGGAGATTGTGGAACAATCTACATGAGCAGACCTTTTCCAGTTCTATTAACCTTAGGCGGTTTAAAAATCGGATCAACAAAATTTGTTTGGGATCCTCATAGTAGCCGAGGTGTCCTAGCATTTAGGCTTCTGCCTGTGCGGCTGCTTCGGCTTCTCATGATATAATGTCTAGATTGATATGACATCAATTACTGAGCACTTTATTGGAAATGACTTGAGAGAGATTATTTTAGGAAAAAATGATGTATATTTTTTTTAAATGCATCAACGTCTCGACTGGCGATTAAATTGTCGCCTAATGTTGTAATTTGTTGATATATGAACCACTGTTTGGCACACACAACCTCTGAGTGTGTTCGTCATTTATGTATTGGCAATCATATTTTAAATAAAGGTATTTGAATATGCATATAATGTATATGTACGTTTCTTCGGGAACCGAAAACTCATCTACATCCACACATCTACGTCTGCACAACTACATCACGTTCACTGAACTCTTAATTTTTATTTGATCACAATGTATTTTCCAAATATTTCCACACTCCGTCTTGACAAAATACCTATTTCCCAGTACTTCATTAACAATGCTGGAGCGCCATACCGGACTGCCAGGTCTATAGACGCACCCTCACATGATCATTTTTCTTTATTTCAGTTGTACGGCTACTTTCAAAAGACTTCTTTGGTTGATTTTGTTTATTCAAAACTACTGTTTTTGTTAATAATATTATGAAATCATATGCAGTACGAATAGTGCACCCAAAAAATAATTTAGAAGGTTTTTCATTTTTTTTATATACCGAAGCAGCCGCGCAGGCAGAAGCATAAATGCCGGGTCACCGCGGCTGATATGAGGATTCTGAAGGTATTTAGTTAATCCGAGTTTTCAACTGACTACAAGGAGCGGTCATATCGGCCAGTTCTGGAGGTACGGAGTTCGACACGCTTAGGATCGGAGGCTAAAGTCAGGCGGGTCTGCCTGGCAGGCACACTGAGCATCATGGAAGAGAGCTCTGAGGAGCAAAGCCCGTTGGTGTGGCGGTAGAAGAGAGCTAGATCGTCGACGGCCAGCCAGTGCAAAAGGGTCCCGAGACTGATTTAGGCACTTTCACTGTATGAGGGATGTATTCCTCCATCCCGACGTGGATATTTTCGGTTATCGAAGAACATATAGCCGACGCATCCGCGTCAGCGAAACAAACATCTCTCCAAGAAAAGGTGGAGAAGAAGTCTCTGAGCCCCTCTCAGTCGGCATATCCGTAATGCCAAATTCTGCGGATTGGGCGAGTTTGTGCTGCCACAGTGGGTTCTGACCGAAACCTAACCTCCACATCACCGTGGTCTAAGTTACCTAGGGGGGACAGGACAGCAGTGCAGTAGTAAGGGACAGGATGCGTGGTCAAAAAGGGATCCAGCAGGCCTGGTATGTGACGAGACGCAGGGGAAACAGTAGGGCTCATCACCAGCTGGGTCAGCCCTTGAGCTCATTATGGGCATTGAAATCACCAAGGAGAACTACCTCTGAAGCGGGGTGATTGATGTTCTGGAAGTCGATCTTGACGGCGAGGTATTCAAGTAGGTCATTCCAGTTATGGTTCGAGGGAGAGCGATAAAGGCAGCAAATAAATTTGGGAGAGTTGAGGCGAAGCAAGTAACGATGAACAGCATCAATGTTGCTGTTAATCCCGCAGATGTTCGTGAAACAAATTGTATCTTCGATGTTGCTCCCTCGAGTCCACCCTTCACCCGGACATTCCGAGAGTAGAGTGAGCTTACGTCTGGAATTCTTAGTACTTGAGGGATCCATCATCATTAATTTCTTTGTTGGGGAAGATAACCGACTGCGTAGCTTAGGCGTGGAAACATGCAGACATTTACAAGACACCCTGGGAAAAGCTAGCGGGTAGTTCCGCCTCGGTCGACTGGTCCTTGTCTACCACCTTCTTTTTGCGTGTCAATGATGTTAAATAGACCTGAAGTGACCCGTTGGCGGACTTGTACCGCCACCCGACAATCGGTACTGAGGTATTCCTTAACGCGTGTACAATCACTTGAACGGGAAGAAATTGTATACTGAATATAACAACTTCCGGAACAAGCATTTGGCACGGCCCCTCTCAGTAGGGGTTATATGAGGGGTATTCCTATAATGAAATAAAAATTTATTATCAAATGAATATCCGTTCATTTATCGTCATGCAAGGCTTTTTTCATCATTTTCACAGCACTTTCATAATCCGTTGATTTCCGTATGGTATGGTATCCTGATGAATCTGTTACACCACTAAGTGTTAAAATTTTTTAGAACTGTTCTCAGGTCAAGGACCTTGCATTATCTGTACATGGAACTATTTCATTACTGGAAATATATTCGGATATTTGGAACTTTATTTTCCGTTCAAAAAGCTTTGAAAATGCGGGAAGTAAGCTGACTAGTCGCGTTACAGATGTGGGAATAAGAACTTTAAGAATAGGTATGACGATAGCCTGTTTCCACGCATCTGAGAAACAGTATGTTCCTAAACAGCACAAAGATATACTTATTTAGGACGTCCGATCTTGACTTTCGAGACACCTTGCAGACGTCTGCTAAAATTCAACAGACGTCTGTTAGAGGTTGTTACTAATCAGAACGCCTTTAATACGTCTTGTTTTGGTCTATTGTAGTTCTTAAACATAACATGGACGTCTCGAATGTGTCTTAGAAACGTCTTCTAGTCGACATACAGACGTTTCTTTG